AAAAAAAGCAAGCTTCGTTTCAAGTTAAATAATGCCATATAATAAAGCTTTTAATAACCTCACTTTCTTGGACTTTACTGAGAAATGTCAGACCTGATACAAAAGACCTCGGTCCGATATTTCTCTGTAAAGACCTCGCATTCGGATATTAAGCGCTTAATAATTTAGTTATTAAGAGTTTACGTATTTAAGTGTTTTATAAATTACTTTTGTGTACTTTATATCATTTTGAAAATTTCTACTTCATATGCCCCTGGTGGAAATTAACGTAATTTGATGAGGTAGCTAAACGTCTTTGAATAAATATTTCATTTATCTATCCAAATTTGCATAATTTTAACAAAAGAAGTCCAGTTTTCGAATACACTCACGTATTATGAATTAGCCAACATAGATTCAAATGCACATGTTTACAAGTTATAACCAATAGAAGTCCAGGTTTTAAGCATCACTGTTGTGATAGAACGCCCAACGGGCGATAGTTATTAAATGACATTCTCAAGTACAGTAAGAATAAATATACTTCAACTCTTTTTTTAAACAAAAAGGTATGTTGAGTTTTTCAACATTATTATAAGAGATAAGTGCTTTGATTGTGAGTAAACACAATGTCTGTAAATCGTAGACAACAGGTAACTTCCAGAAAAAACGCGAGGATGAACACTTGTAACTGAAGCAACTTGACACAAATTACCAAAGAACGAGGTCAGACACTTAGATTTCGGACACTGTCGATCAGGATCATCAACGCAATCCAACGTATAACAAATTTGACCAGAACGCGAGCCAATAATGAACGTCTTAACAATGTAATCCATCGGACAAGCTATGGTAACAGCAATAAGTTTTCCGTCAGGAGAATAACTGATATCACTAAGCAAATCAAAGTAATTATGATGTTTTGGGTGAACAGCTAACCTTTTTCGATAGGCAAATTGCAAATTTTCAGAATTGTCAGAAAAATATAAAACGCGCCACACACAAAACAGCCCGTAACGATCACATATTGCAAATTCCCCACGGCCAAATGCAGGATTGTAGCAGCAATTTCTAACTGCTGAATAATAATCGTAAACACGAACACGTTGTAGTAGTTTTAAACTGTCAGCGTCAAAATAGAACAGTTCACCATCAGTGCTTCCTGCCAAAAGACGGCTGACATCAGGAGATAGAGCCAAACAACTAAAGCCATCAGCACGATACTCCGCCCGCAAATGTAAATAATCTTCAACATCACTTTCATTCCCACTTTCACGTCTTTCTTTTAACACTTGCTCGTCACGCTCATTAAACTCAAGATCCGTATTAAGTATAGGACAACCTAACTGAATGCAATCAACTCCACTATATTCAACATTAAGATCAATCAATTGGTCGGGTCCGTCTTTATAGAATCTTCTACGTTCCACAAACCGTCCGGTAGTTTATACACACGACACCAAAAGCGGTACAAGTAATGGGGAAATTCAGGATCCAAACAAATAGTTACTGCAATTCTCCTTCCATCTGGGAAGAATATAAGTTGAGAAATGCGAGCATGAACACAGTTTATGCAATATAACGGTTTAGGTAACTTGCCGACCTCATTATCTGGGATGGCAAAATAATCAAAACAAAATTGATAATATTATATCTGTGACGATGATTGACTGCACTTGCAGCTATTAAAGAACCGTCCCAAGAGACGGCCCATTTTGTATCAGAGTTAAAACTAACACTTTTTTTTCGAGCTCTTTTCAAATTTTATATCCATGAATTTCTTGACATCAGATTTGAAATCTTCACTTATAAGTCCTAGTGTATCGCTCTTGTAGCTGTACAAGAAACTTTTCATTGATGGTAAATAACACAAACAACGTATCGCCATATTTGTTTCAATGTTGACAACATGCGATGGTGGAATACCGTCTAGTTTCTAAATAAAAAGAATGTTTTAATCGTAATGTGAAAAGCTCACCAGAAGATCAATACTTGAAATATTTTATTATTTATACCTCGCTCATACATATCTCATATTCAGGAAAGCTGGGAGATGACGAACGTTCAGATTCATCATCAGATGAATTGGAAGACATCGCGCAACTCTTTTCAAAACCTAAAAAATCGATTCTATTTCAAAATCGCTACCATTCTCCTCTCGAAGCATGATTTTGCGAAAGAGTTTGGACACAGGAAGTAAAATTGCCTTGTGTCCGCCATTTTGTTTTAAAATAAGCAAATATCTGGCAAATATAGAGAATTGAATGGTGAAAAGACAAATTTTCCGTTTTGTTTTCTTATTCATGAATAGACAGCGATATGGTTTACTTCAAAATCGGAAAATCATCAAGCCACGTTCTTAGATACCTGGCGCTCGACGTTTTACCCTCAACTATTTAACTGATGCTAATTTTCCAGAGTTTTGGAGATAAAACAAGTCAATAAGCGGAAACTTTTAGTGCAAAATATTCCCCCGTTCAACGTTACGCAAGTCACCCATTCCACATTAAAATAAAAGCATTTGAAATGGTGAATACATTAAAATACAATTGGTAAAATATTCTCTAGAAATTTGCCAACGAACAAGCGTCATTTTTAAGTTATCTCGAAAATAGAATAGGCTGTTGTGTTGTATTGATTGTGTTAGCTTTGCTATACTTCCCTTTAACACGATGAAAACAGCTAAAATTCACACTTACCAGAATAAATATTGTCAGAGCACGTTTCAATGAAGACGACATGAAACTAAATGAATTTAACGACCACGAGGTAGAAAAGGTCTGACGTCTGAATCTATTCTTTCCACTAACATGTATCCCAGAAGTCAGCATTAATATTTAAAATTCAATTACCAGTGTGATTATGGAAAATACCCATATACTTCATGATATAAGTTTTAGTATTCCCTTATATATCCTTGAAATATGCAGTAAGATTTTAGTTTATTATATTTTATACAAAACCACTCTATATCACGGTCAAAACGAAGTTAAGTGAAACTTCATTAATGTAAACCCAAGTCCATTGCTGTAGAAACGGATTATTGGGGACAATGGACGTTCCGTATAGGCCGATGTCATTAGCACTTAAGGGTATAAAAATTTGATATTGGCAAACTTTGATAATTCTTGTAAAATCCGTAGTTAAGTCTTGATCTTAGCTTATATCTGCTCGTTGACGGTCTTATAACTATATCTAACTGCATTGATATTTGTGCTTCTAGTCAATTTCTGGTCCATTCATGTTCTGTGCGTTGCGTGCATTCATTCTTATCAATTAATATATTATCTGAATTACACACCTCACCCCATTCACTTTCTACGCCTAATTAAACAATTCAATGACCTTGTCAGCAGTAAAGATTGACAAAACAATAAACTGAATCTATCTCAACTTCATCTACAGTGGCACTAAGTCAAACTCAATGCATTCTACAGCTGTTTTGCGAGTTCGTTCCCTGGTCAAAATAAAATTAGCTTGCGAATGTGAGATGAGTTTGTGAGCTTTTGCTTGCATTTTTTCTCCGGCTGCTCCAGTTTTCTTCCTCTGGGAAATTTTGTAAAAGGGTTGATATTTACAGAAAGTATGGCGTTCAGGGAGAACCGTTATAAAAGGTTCTGCTGAGGTTAAAACAGCGTAGACGAGGTTAATATGAATTCATTGTTCGTATACCGGAGTATTTAAACTTATTACTCCTAAAAAAATAACGTTTTGGCTGCGTTCACACTATACCGGATTTGCTCATCACGACGTCTTCATTTGCTTTAAAAGGGATAACTGTTCGGAGTAAAAGCTTATTAAGCGGATAGATTTAGTCTATTTGATCGTGTTTCTGACGCTGAACAATTTTACTGCCTTTTAATATAAAGAATATTCAACCTGCTGCGATAGCAATCCGGTATATTGTAAACGGAGCCTTAATGAAGACGTGTCAAAAAAAAGCATGGAAAAATGTCGTCGTTTTATATTCGCGTATTGCGTAATGATGGGTATTACCATTATGTGCCAAGTAAGGACTAGCCTCCCACCCTCCGCCAGCAATTAAAGTTTTTCAAGGGCTGCACTGAAATAGTTCTCTTTCATTTAAAAAACATTGTTTGTATGGAAGCTTTTTATATTGGCAAAAATCATCTATTATATTGCTGTCTCTCTCAAGCCATGAATTCCATGCTTCTTTCTTGCAACAAGAATCTTTTGCTCTTTAACAAACAAAACAAAATTTTGCTGGTTTTACTTTCCTTTCATAAATAAGAATGTATTATACATTTTATATTTTACGCATATCTCTCTATTGCTCTCAATAAGCCGATAAAATGTCGAGTTTTTAAATTGACGGGTCATAGACTATAGCGCACCAGCCTTCGACTTTATATTGTTTTGCCAAGATTGTGTAATAAGGACGTCTCTATATCAACACCTTCCACAAAGCAACATCCGAAAAACCAACGGAAAACAGTTTATCTCCGGTCGGAGAAAATGTCACATGGCTAATAGAGTCACAATGCATATCGAAATCTTGAAAGCTACCTTTATCATAATCAATTATTTTCACTAGTCGATCTAAAACGAAAAGAAAATTACAGACAAAAAAAATACCTAATTAAGTGATTGCAAACTAAAGCATTGGGTGTCATTAATTCTCGAGGAAATAAAAGAAGCGCTGCAAAGAAATAAAAAACTTTTTAATGAGAATTTCACCTAGTGCTTTTTTGATTCATATTTCCGACGTAGCTACGTCGATTTGGGACTTTTTTTTAGACTTAAACTATGTGGGATACGTAACCCTAAATTGTGATCTTAATTTTCTTTTCAGAAAACCATCGATAATCCAGTTTTACTAATGGAAAAAAACTAGATTAGAAAAATTGACATAAGTTGGAGTAGATAAAAAACTTTATCGATTTCAAACTATTATATTTTAAGATATAGGAACGATTTTCAAATCATTCAGTGTTGTTTTGCAGAACGTTGTAAAAAACTTCTTAATTTATACCTTTGGTTCCAACAGCAATTAAATGACGCTTAGGCGATATTTCCAAGCAAGAAGCCCATTGTGTCAACAAAATAGTTCGAAAAACCTGACAATGAACACATTTCCATCAATGATGGACATTTTGTCTGCTCCAAGCACAGACCTCTTACAAATACTGACCTTTCTCTGGGACAAGCTGTAGAATTGTATCAGTTTTCTCAGACCATAACCACTGTACACAATAACATCGGGCTCTGTTGGCGAGAATCTTGCCAAACTTGGCGGTAGATGCAAATACGCAGACTTCAAAGGGAGAAAACATGCTTATTTCAAACTTATTAAAACAGTTTTCCATAATAATTTATTTATCTTTCATTATCTTGAGCAACTACAATCAAGACAAGAAACAAACTACAATTTCTCACCGCATCGTCTTTTTTCAAAGCAATTCCTTCAGGTGTTATATTTGGAGCGGGAAAAGTTAACCAATCAACAAGCTCGCAGAAATCCTTCGACCAATCCGCCTTCCATACGCTAACCCTACGATCAGCGCTCGCAATAAGCCACAATCTGGGCGAATTGAATGATGGATGATCGTTCTAAAAACAAGGTTTTGATTATTAATAAGCTCTTAATGTGACTGCGAACCCTACGATCAGCGCTCGCAATAAGCCACAATCTGGGAGAATTGAATGATGGATGATCGTTCTAAAAATAAGGTTTTGATTATTAAAAAGCCCTTAATGACCGAGCGCGACGTGTTTACAGAGAAACAATGGACCGAAGTTTTTTTGTACAGACCGATCCCGTAGGGCGAGGTTGTACAAAAAAGACAGAGGTCTGATGTTTCTCAGTAAAGACCGAGAAAGCGAGGTTATTAAATAGATTATTAGATGGCATTATTTGACCTGAAACGAAGCTTGCCTTCTCGTCCTTGCGGTTTTTACGAGTTGATTTTCACTTTTCTAGTTTTCGTCCATAAAAAGTAAACTCGTTTCATAATTGTATCGTCTAGATAGTTTTCCAAGTGTTTTTCCTTCGAATTACATTCGTAAATGGTTTTTTGTTTCGTTTATTTCGCGTTTTGCTGTTTGCTTTAAGAAGTTTGTTTACATTTGACAGTAAAATTACGCGTTTTGGACAGCGGTCGATTACGGGAAAATAATGGACAGGCAAAAATGTTTCTGAGCCAATTAAAGCGCATCATTTAGCCGGAAGTGACACTTGCCATATAATAATCATCATCAATAACCAGTAAGATGTTAAGTTTGGTAAATATTGCGAAAGTGCTTAAAAATATTTTGAAGTAGGTTAAGAACTAGAATTGGACTCGATGATTTTCATAACCAAATAATCAAATAATCTGCCATACCAAGTTATACTTAACAATCCCAAGTGGTAAAACAACCCAAGTCAACATCCACAATCCCATCGTATCCTCACACATTCCAATATTCTTCACCACACCAAGTCATCCTCAGCCCATAACATTTTAAACTTAAAAATCCCATGTTATTCATAAGCTCCAAAGTTATCCTTAACAAGAGGACAAGAGGGGGGAGATGAAGAACCAACTATAAGGTAGATACCACACATACCACTGTATACTATACCACTCATATCACTGTCCTCCACAGTAGATATCGCATACATCACAGTATACTATAGTTAGATACTAAAAATATCACTGTATATTATAGGTGGATACCACATATAACATTGTATACTATAGGTAAATACAACATATATCAGTGTATACTATAGATAGATACCACATATATCAGTGTATACTATACATAGATATCACATATATCAGTGTATACTATAGATAGATTCCACATATATCACTGTATACTATAGGTAGATATCACATATATCACTGTATACTATAGATAGATACTACATATATCACTGTATACTATAGGTAGATACAACATATACCACAGCATATTATAGGTAGATACCACATAAAATACTATATACTATAGGTAGAGTCTGCATGTATCAAGCAGCGACTGGTCCTTACCACAGGCAGAAAAATTGATAACAGTAACGCCCCCAGAATGAGGATGTATTTTCATAATCATTTCAACTCTTCCAAGATCAAAGAGTCTTACGGTTCCATCATCAAAACCAGCCACGCAATGTGATGGTCTTAATGGTTTCTCCACTGGTTCCATGTTAGGATGTACTGTGGCTATCACTTCACCATCTTGTAAGACATTATGTGTTGGTTCACGTGGAGGTGTTGGACAGAATGAAACACAATTACAGCGCTATGGAGGGAAAGAATTTTTAAACAACTGATAGTCAACATCGACGAAATTTTTAGAGATGAGTTACGTTTTGGTCCCGTGTAAGTGAAAGCTTTTATTTATAACATATACAAGCGCGCAAAAGATCTCTTTATCTGTGACGTATAAAGATCCTGAGCAGGTTCAAAGAGATCTCTTTATTTGTGACATATGAAGAACCTGAGGAGGTTAAGAGAGGTCTATCTATCTGTGATATATGAAGAGCCTTAGCAGGTTCAAAAAGATCTGTCTATCTGTGACATTTGAAGAACCTGAGGAGGTTCAAAGAGATCTCTCTATCTGTGACGTATGAAGAACCTGACGAAGTTCAAAGAGATCTCTATCTGTGACGTATGAAGAACCTGAGGAGGTTCAAAGAGATCTCTATCTGTGACGTATGAAGAACCTGAGGAGGTTCAAAGAGATCTCTCTATCTGTGACGTATGAAGAACCTGAGGAGGTTCAAAGAGATCGCTGTATCTGTGACGTATGAAGAACATGAGTTTTAATGACGACGAGAAACATGCTTCAATTCACCTGATCGACAACTTGAAATTGCAGCGTTTGTTCGAGGTCATCAGAAGTCCAGACTCTTAAGCTACCATCATCGGAGCAAGTCGCAAAGAATTTGTCATCAGGACCGCTGGCCACCAGTGAATTTATCTAAAACAATCACGTGGTTGAAGATGGAATACAATATTTTCACAGGGAGATTAACACAGTGAGTTACCTTCTCTGTATGACTGCTGACAAGACGAATAGACGTCCTCTCTGTCCAGTTTATGTACCATAACGTACCTCCAACTGTACCAACAATACCCTAAAGTACACACCACACACCTGGAGGCAAGCAATTCACAGGGAAAACATATTTTAGAAAATATCGAAAACCTAGTTTTCAAAAGGAAAACAGATTCGTCAATTTCTTCCCTTTTATTCACCATTCTTTAATCTTCCCACTGACGAAGTCTTACCATTTCAAGGATGTGTCGAATGAAGCAGAAATCACTCCGGCGTCCAAAGACATTTCGTCTTCGATAACCAAACCATTTTGATTCAATCTGATAAAATATGGGATCAGCTTTCGCAAAAAATGAAATCTAGAACGCGCTTTCTCGTGAGATCAAAACCTTCATTAACCCCGCTAACGCAAAGTTATCACAACACAATTGAACTATTTCAGCAATTCTAAGTTGAAAACTTTCCCCTAAGTGTCTGGGTGATAATCATCATGAAAAAAAAAACTGAAACGAAATATACATATCATTCTGTCCGGGCAATCTCATCTCTCCAACGCCTACAACAGACCAAAGACGAAGATGCCCCGATGAGCTTCCGGTAATCAGCGAGCCGCGATGACAAACAATTACATCTACGAAGAAAGCAAATAACGACTGTAGAACATAAATTCAAAATGAATGTCATAAAATTTATATCCGCATGACAAACTAAGTTGAAACCATGAATAATATGACAAAGAAAACAGATAATATAAATACATTTTCTTACCGATTTCAGAATCGTCAGAAAGCCAGTGCATAAAACACTTGTTTTGTCTTGTATCCCAAGCGGATATAATTCCTAGAAAATCAAAAAAAAATCAGAAAAAAGAAAAATGATTTTCAAGAAAGAGACACGTAAAGTCAACAAATATTTTCAATCATTACAAACATGATTGTTTACTTCATGTAATATTAATGAGATGTGAGTAGAATTAGGCGTGAGTTTTGACAAGGACTGGTGCGAGTTGCCACACAATACACAATCAAAAAGAAACAAAACCTCCTGTGACTTTGTATTAACATTTAAGTCAAGCTACAAGAGCAAGGAAAATCTTTGGTAGCTACAGTCTTTTATAGTCTCCTTAAGAACAAAACATCAAAACCAAAGGATAAGCCATCAATCTTTCACGCTTGAAAACAAATCTATTGGGTCCATAGAAGATGAAGTGGACTGGAAATTTGCAATAAACCAAACTTTTATTGTTTCAAACATACCAGCATTATTGCCTATATATAGCACATTATCACCAGCATAGCGGACACTTGTAAAATGTACCATGGAGTCATTCTGTCGACGAAAAAACAGCAAAATATCACCGACTCAGAAATTATAACGAAGCAACTTTTAGATAAAAAACGAAGAAAACCTGCTTTGAAGTGTATAACAAATCATCGGGAACTTTCCCTTCGCAAACCTAAAAAACGAAGGGTCATCCTTCATAAAACTGAATAAAAAATGTGGACTCCTAAATCTGGAGATCAAATTATGAAATCATAAAAGTATTTTCAAAAATCTGGAATCTTGGAATTTAGCACAAAAATCCTAAATCTTAAAACTGGAATGTAGAAAACGCATATCAAAAATTATAGTCATTCAAACTTTTATAAATTGAAACATCAATTGATAAAATATATATCAATTTACGCACCAAGACATACACTATCCACCCTATATTACCTCATGAGTACTCACATTCAAGTTGAAAGATCCACGAGATTCTTCCAGTAACCAAAACAGCACGTGACCATCTTGTCCGACCGACACAAACTCGTTCATAGTATAAGGATCCCATGCGATGTCATGGATTGGAGTTTTAGTATAGGACGATGTGAGTACATTGTAGTCCTTAGTACCCCATATTACCACGGAACACTCCCTGTAATCTCCGACTGAGATCAGAAAACGATCGTCTCTTGAGAAATGAAGGCCAGCAATCTCATAGGAGTGATATGTCAGCATCTGAATATAAATATAATGCTCTAATTTATCTCTCAATGTAAAGATTAGAGACCAACAGATCGTTTAAAAGAAAGCCATAAGTGGTTTAATTTATGATAGTCCGAAGAAATCTGAAGATGTGTCTGATTTCGTTAATGTCTGCAATTAGTCTGAACTCAGATTATGTGTTGAGTCAAGACGAAAGGTTTCTTTAATGAGCATTAAAAAAATAAAACCGCTAATGGCTTTTTTGAAAACAAACTGTTGAGCTCTGATCTTTATCTTGAGAATAGGATTCCCGCCTGGCACACTCGCTGGCAACAATATTCATGCTCAGATTAACATATATTAAAAGTTTTCAATAAATCAAGAAAAATTCAAAAATTACAGATTTACAAGATCTTTTATCTACGGCAGTAAAAAATTTGTGTCATAGACACCATAAAACGTTTAACTATCCATCTACCCATTAGGGAAGACAGCCCAGTAATTTAGGTCGAGATATAAAAATTTCAGATCATTGGCATTATTGTTTTTTACAGCGAGTGAACAACTAAATAATTACATAGCATGAACAAGTTTGCGGGCTGGCTACGCCACTGCCTCTATACCTAAATAATTACATAGCATGAACAAGCTTGAGGGCTGGCTACGTCACTGCCTCTACACATAAATAATTACATAGCATGAACAAGCTTGCGAGCTGCCTACGCCCCTGCCTCTACACCTAAATAATTACATAGCATGAACAAGCTTGCGAGCTGTCTACGCCACTGCCTCTACCTTTTTACAATCACCAGTTGCAATATCCCAGATACAAATGCATGACGCCACCGTCTTTGAAGACCCGGATGCCGAGGCAAGAACCTGAACATCGTGTTGAAGAGCTATTGTGGAAATCTCTTCAAAATGTTGCATGAGATGTTTTTGTTTTCCATCATGAAGATCTTCGATGATAACGATGCAGCCACTGGTGTAAACGAACAAACCTGAATAGGGACAATTGTAACTGATCTCAATATATTAACGTTCTGGTTTGTTGTTTAATACAGAAGCGTATTAAACTCGATAGTAGGGGAGCATCTATTCATAAACGCATTTTCTGTATTCCTGAATCGAACACTGATTGAAACTAGTGTATTCGCCAGGATTTTGCGTTTGAAAGCCAATCCTTTCAAAATTTAATTTGGGAAGAGGGATTTCGCATTTTAAAGCCAGTCCGTTCAAAATTCAAACAAAGGGGAAGACGTGAAACCAACCCCTCTTCTACTAAGCAAAGCCATTGTTTGAATCCGTATTTCAACGAAGTGCATCGTACTTCCACTTTTTACTAAGTAACAAATACATAAGAGATCCTGAGTATTTCATTTTATGTAGAAAAAATCTTTTCCGCCAAAGTTTAAAGGAATATGATGGTGACCGGTGATGTTTCTTACTTTCTAAAGTAACAAATCAGAATGCAGATTGAGCCCGCTAACCTGTTTCAGGATGCCAACACATATTGTTCCGGCCATCTCCGTTGTAATCAAGAACAGCCAGCAAAGCAAGTCCAGCCTGACTTCTGGATGCCGTGTATTTTCTTTCAGGCAACGCAGTGGAGCTCTTACGTTTCTTGTAATGTTTTAGCACACCAGGGAATGGGTGACCTGTATCTGAGGGAAGCGAATTGCGGATCGGGGTCTGGGTCTTGATCTGAAAATTTTTAAAATGTTATTTAGATGGTGACAGACAGGATACCAGAACTAAAAGACGCCTGATGAAATCGATCGATTCGTTAAAGAGTACTACTCACAATACTACCGTGTTTAAACATTTCACTTTATTATGTCTTTCTATATATTCTCACCAATATTATCTAATTCGAGCCCGGGAGTATAGCTGCAAGTTTGTAGATGTAGATCGTCCAGGTTAGTAAAGTCTTGAGAAGGACTGTTGTTGTTGTTGTTGATGTTGACTGATGTTTCAACAATCTTGTCTCTGAAGATGACTACCACTAAGGTTGACGAAACGTCAATCAGCTTTAACGTCAACAGTCCTTCTCAGTACTCAACAAACCTGGACGATCTACATCTGCAACCATGTAACTATCTATTTCATACTGTTTGACGCCTTCAAAATTTTGTCATCCTTTTCTGACAAATATGAACAATCCATCCACGAAAGTCTTCTCATCTCTAACCTTAACCACAAGCTTAACATCCAGGGCAGTTCAACCCCACTAAATCTAATTTCACTCGATCCCACTTTATCACCTAATGCACACAACTCCACCACATTGTTATCATCACATTTTGTAATCTAACACACTGTAAATATCTTACAATTAATGTTTATCTTTCTAAACTTCCTATATAATTCACAACTAGCCTGATGTCTCAAGTTAAAGATGAAATGCTATAATCAACAGATATTTCATCGATGCCTAGATAAAAGTTATTTGTTGGGAAATTATAGTTACACTGAAACTTCATTTTTCGCCAGGCATATCAATAGTTACACAACATATTTTTTTAAAAAAAATGATGACACGTATAAATCGTTTGGACAGAATCTTTTTCGAATGAGTGAAAACGAAACGTCGCGATCTTTAAAACAAATATCCTATTCCTAAAGTACAGAGGACTTATAAAAACAAATATCCTATTCCTAAAGTACAGAGGACTTATAAAAATAAATATCCTATTCCTAAAGTACAGAGGACTTATAAAAACAAATATCCTATTCCTAAAGTACAGAGGACTTATAAAAACAATGATCCTATTCCTAAAGTACAGAGGACTTATAAAAACAATGATCCTATTCCTAAAGTACAGAGGACTTATAAAAACAAATATCCTATTCCTAAAGTACAGAGGACTTATAAAAACAAATATCCTATTCCTAAAGTACAGAGGACTTATAAAAACAAATATCCTATTCCTAAAGTACAGAGGACTTATAAAAACAGTTTATCGAACACAAATATTCATTCGGAGAAATCACTTCCCGATAGACTGAGCAAAATATGTTCAATGAAACAAAAAGACTTCGTCATCTTTAGACGAGACCCACCGACTTCGATATCTCTAGAGTGTTGTTCAGAACTTTTAAATTTCTAGTCACAATAGGATTGAAACTATCGATGACTTTCACATCTTTCTTAGATGGAGAGTTTACGACAATCTCGTCCTGTTTGCCGGGAGAACTGGGGAGAGGCTGCAGAGGTAATTCGGTCGCCATAATTGGAGGTCTGGGTTTGAGATCAGATTCTCCAATGTCATCTTGTGTTGGTGAGACAGCTCCATCAAAAACATGTGCAGCTTTATCTGAATTGAAAACGCAAGATTTATTCGAAATGTTGCAACTTTATATCCTTAAGGATTCGCTGGATGAATAGTGAAAATAGAGGAAAGAATTTTTCAGCAAGAACGCGATAGAATAGTGCAAGGAAGTAGTACAAGCTGAGCTGGAAAGAGAACTTCTCACAGGCAACCTTAAAATCGTTATAGAAAGTTCTACAAGACGCAGTAAACTTAAGGCATTATGTGGAATCACGAGCTTTCGTGACATAAAGACTGTTGGTTACAGTTAGATGTAAGATTGTGAAAGTTTATGAAAATATTTAACATATAATTTTATATATATGAAAGCATAAAACACACCCGATTCATTTTTGTTGCAATCAATCCCTTCTTCTCTTCCACTAAGAAAAATGGCGAAGAAATGAAAAAAAATTATAGCGAGTCGTAATCACTGATCTCGAAATAAGACTAGATCCAGCATCTAGCACAAAAGTTGAAGACAAAAAATAAGGAGTGCCGCCATTACTAAGGAGCCAACTTTCGAAAATAAGGAGCAAATGTATTGTGGATTTATACGAGAATAATGAAGAATCTTCAACATACAACTACATGAAAATAACTAAGAGATAAATCAGTTTATAGATAAGCTAAAAATACGATGAAATATGATCAAAATGCAGCGATTTTTGTCATCGGTAAGTCTACTTTGGTATGGAAAAACTATGGAAAATAGCCCACAACTGCATGGAAATACCTAGAATTGTTGAAATCGTAGTTCAGAAGTACAAAGTGATTAAATAATGTAATTTACTATCATAAACTGATCAGTCCTTAAAAATAGCCTTGTTGAGAGTGATTCGGAGTGAAACGTGTATGCGTTCTGTTTTATACGGCCGATTATTCTTTCTGACTCGCTTTACTATCGCCATAAAGGTTGTTTTCATCTTCTGCGTTATTTTAAAGTATAATTTGGCTATGTGTTGCTATGTTTTCCACAGTTTTGTTAAAAATCTTTCGATGTGTCGGTCCCTTAGTAATGGCGACGGTGGCTTCAAAATTTGTTTACTACAAATATAGACTTGCTTGATCCAGTCTTTTTTCGAGATCAGTGGTCGTAATATGGTCGTAATGAACGTTTTCACAATCTGGAGATGAGTGGTGATTGGATGAAATCCCGAGATTACCGAAGGCCAAATAACTGGTTATACCATTTAAGTAAGCAGTTGAATCGTAGGCTTCAAATTTTAAGGGAGCGTTTCGGTAATATTCATGTCATGTTTGTGGATGTTGATCATCCAGATTAGTAGAGTTCTGAGAAGAACTATTGTTGTTGATGTTGACTGACGTTTTGACTTCCTTAGCGGTAGTCATCTTCAAAGTAAAGTGATCTATGACATCAATGATCTATGTGATCTATGACTTCAATGATCTATGTGATCTATGACTTCAATGATCTATGTGATCTATGACTTCAATGATCTATGTGATCTATGACTTCAATGATCTATGTGATCTATGACTTCAATGATCTATGTGATCTATGACTTCAATGATCTATGTGATCTATGACTTCAATGATCTATGTGATCTATGATTTCAATGATCTATGTGATCTATGACTTCAATGATCTATGTGATCTATGACTTCAATGATCTATGTGATCTACGACTTCAATGATCTATGCCATAATCACACTCACTGAATAACATCAGTCAAAAATGTTATCCTACATAAAAATGTTTATACCAGCAGTTTTGGTAGTGCATAAATATCGTGAAATCTCTGTTGCGAATGTCAGTAAATAAAAAACAAAAATATAAAAAGTGTGTTTACGTACCCAGGCTCCAAAGGATCGCGGCCATCTGCAAGAAAATCCCAAATAAATATCGCCTCCAATACTGACCAAAGCTTGGAGGTCTGGGGTAAAACGAACTTTGGAGACATTATTTGAATGGCCAATAAACACCTGTATAGAAACGGTTAAGATGTATCATAAAATAAAACAATACAACGCGTGCGCTGATTGGTGTAGAGTTGTGCTTGCGTGCGCTGATTGGTGTAGAGTTGTGTTTGCGTGCGCTGATTGGTGTAGAGTTGTGTTTGCGTGCGCTTATTGGTGTAGAGTTGTGTTTGCGTGCGCTGATTGGTGTAGAGTTGTGCTTGCGTGCGCTGATTGGTGTAGAGTTGTGTTTGCGTGCGCTGATTGGTGTAGAGTTGTGTTTGCGTGCGCTGATTGGTGTAGAGTTGTGCTTGCGTGCGCTGATTGGTGTAGAGTTGTGTTTGCGTGCGCTGATTGGTGTAGAGTTGTGCTTGCGTGCGCTGATTGGTGTAGAGTTGTGTTTGCGTGCGCTGATTGGTGTAGAGTTGTGTTTGCGTGCGCTGATTGGTGTAGAGTTGTGTTTGCGTGCGCTGATTGGTGTAGAGTTGTGTTTGCGTGCGCTGATTGGTGTAGAGTTGTGCTTGCATTAGCCTGTAAACATATTTCCTTTCTTATTTAATAAAGGATAAGTAAATGTAATTTTTAGATCTCAACTCTTCCTAAATGTAAATGTAATGTAAGATATGAAAGGTTTTGTATACTTTAGGAATTTCAGATAAGCCTTCTGCATAACTATACAGAATAATTCATTGATAAGACAGTTTTTCATAAGAAATAAAGAGTATTTCTAATTAACTAACATTAGCATTATATATGTATCATTGATAGTAAAGTCAGTCATGAAAAGTATTCGTGGTGTTTCCGACATAAGTATAAATAAAAATTATAAAAAAATTTACAACGTGCCTTGTTAGATGTTGAAGAACTTAGAGCGTAGTAAATGTCTTCATTATGAAAGTTATCGTACCTGGAAATTCAAGTCCATTTTCATGTGATAGTCCCATATCTTGATAAGTTTATCACCAGCAGTTGCAAGAAAATGCCCAGTTTGGAAAGGATCAAGACCTGAACAGCTAGATCGATGAACGTTGGAAACCTAAGCAATAAAACATACTTCTACATAAAACTTCATATAATTCCTGTCGGTGTGAAATTTTCATCATAACAAGCTCTCTATATGTCGCATCAACGCCCCCCTGCCTCTCAATCTTAATTATCTACTTCGCTCAATAACTGTCCAATAAGTACATCAAGTTTTAACAACCTACATAGAGCAGCAACTGCTAACAAATTCTTTAAATGTAGCAAGAAAATCCCCCCGCCCCTCCCTCTTAATTATTATTATTTACTTCGCTCAATAAATGTCCATTAAGTTACATCAAGTTTTAACAGCCTACATCCATTAGTAACTATCAACAGACTCGTTCTAGGTATCATAAATCCATCCCCTCCATCATTATTATCTACCTCGCTCAATAACTGCCCACTATGTGCATCAAATTTCAACAGCCTACAACCAGCAGTAACCACCAAAAGTTGATTTAACGCCATAGGAGAGTAGCACAATCTGAGGGCAGTATCGTCAGTAGTGGAAACATTTCCTGCATGTATTGTTGTTATATCTATACGTAGAACCTAGATAAGATAAACATTGTTTAAAATCAATTAATCTCAGCTTTAGCATGTTCAAGACTTACAGATAATCTGTACCTATAGACTGTTTAACATAAGATAACCTCAGCTTAAATATGTTGGACATTACATAATCCCTACTTAAAAACTGTTTAACACCATATAATCTTAGCTAACACGTGTTGAAAATCATAAAAACTCTACTTAAAGACTGTTCAACGTCAATAACCTCAGCTTGAACATGCGGAAAATGATATAACCACCATTTGAAGACTGTGCAACATTAGAAAATCTCGCTCTAAAGCCTTAAACATATTGAAGATTAAGAAATCTCCATTGATAATCAAAATTTAAAGAATGTTTGAGATTCAATAATGACAGCTTGACATGTTGAAGATCAAATAATCTTCACTTAAAGACAGTTTAAGATTAGATAAGAACGTCACCTACAATAAACGTGAATGCCGTGAGAACAGTATAATATAAGTACATAGTCCAGTAAATGTGTAATGAAGTAGCTACCTATTCTTTACTAACCTCGTCCAAAGTGCGGCAGTCCATTACAGTAATCACGTATTCAAATGGACCAATAACAGCAAGCCGCTGACCATCATCACTGACGGACAACACATCGGGAGCGAAATGCTCCCCAGGTGCCACTGTATTGATAAGAATTCTTTGTACATTGAACTCCTCTGTGGAGCCTTGATATAGCACTAAAATTCCTTGCGATCCAGCACTGTACATGTGTTCACCGTTCGGAGAAAAAGCCAATCCTGTAATCATCCCTTTGTGTTCCTTATGCTCTGCTAGCATTGAAGAACTTGCTAAAACAACGATGTGGTTTTCATTAGATTATGCAGACATCTACATTTTATTGATTAAAGGGTATATGACACGAAATTTCTTGTTGTCCTAAATAAAAGATTTCTAAAAACTTTAATGGATTTTCTGTTTAACATCATTTTTTGCATGTTTACTTATGGATGTATACAAAAAGTAACCATGGTATTTGAATTTTTAAAACAATAAAATAGTTTTGACAAAACACAAGCAGGTTTGTAGTGAACAAAACGACAAAATATGAATTTTGGAACTTACATGTCACAAAAACTTTAATAATTTCAGAAGTAAGCTTGTAAAGGTGTTACAAGAAAATCCATTAAAATTTTAGGAGATCTTTTATTCAAGACAATAAAAAACTTCTTTTCATAGACATATCAACTAACCCTTAGATGAACTATCCCTAACATGTACCAATACATCCCTTCGTGTATACCTATATCTTATAACCCATAGTTGAACCACCGCTAATAAATAGCATTACATCTCTTTGAGCATGTCTAGATGAAACAACCCTTAGATGAACTATCCCTAATATGTACCAATATATACCTATATACAAATAACCCTTAACTGAACCATCCTTAATATTACATCACTTAGAGTATACCTGTATCAAATAAACCTAAGATGAACTATCGCTATATGTACCAATATATCCCTTCGAGTATACCTATATCAAAAACGCGAACTGCCCCATTCCGAAAGCCACAGACAAAGAGTGATTGATGAGGATGGAACGTCACAGTACAGGGATTCTCATTGGCTGCTCTAAAATCATACAATTGATTGAACGTGTCTAGGTCCCATACACGAATAGTTTCATCATGGGACACGGTCACGAGAGAACCACGTGATGGATCAAAGGAGCAATCGAGTATTTGTTTGGTATGTGATCTCATCAGTGTTTTGTAAGAACGTGTGGAGATGTCGAGAATTCCAATGCTACCCTAAAGGAGGATTGAAGAACACAAAAATGTCATACACAGTCAAAAATAATTTATGGCTCACTACTAAATGACAAGTAGAACCATTGAACTAAAATACTTGGAAAGCTACATGTAATAGAAAAGCTTGATAATTTTTTAAAGCCAAATTTTACGAAGACACGCGAGATTACACCTAGACACGCGTGGTAATCAATCAATTTTCACTCCGCGAGAGAATCTCGAAACACGAAACACGCGTGTCTGGGTGTAACCTCGCGTGTCTGGGTGTAAGATATGGCTTCAATTATTTGCTTCAGGTAGCGTTCCATGTATTTTAGTTGAATGAGTAGAACTAAAATTTTGTTCAGTTAAATTAAGTTTTCATTGAAGATAACTCTCAAGCTGACAGTGGACTTTCTAAAACAGTTTATTCACATCACTTTTCATTCAAGACATATTGAAGTCTATGATTATACGATTTATAAAGAAAGTGACGTCACATTGCACAATGAGAATTTGAATTATCAGAAAATACGTATATATTGTATAAATACAATAAACTACTTCTTGCTTTATAACTAATGTTCTTGCCACCATAGTTTTTCATCATCAGTCAAGAATTGATAACGGGACTGTGGAATAGTAAAAACCTTACAAATGAGAATATTGTTAACATACGTACCGTTACTGTACCGGCAAGAACAGATAAACAATTCGGATTGATGTCGATAGACGAGACAGCACCATCGTGTTCTGTAAAGGAAAGGAACAAATCAACAAATGCAGTAACATGAAGTAGTAGTAGTAACACACCGTCAACAAATGCAGTAAAATGAAGTAGCAGTAGTGACACACCGTCAACAAATGCAGTAATATGAAGTAGCAGTAGTAGCACGCCGTCAACAAATGCAGTAACATGAAGTAGCAGTAGTAGCACGCCGTCAACAAATGCAGTAACATGAAGTAGCAGCAGTAACACACCGTCAACAAATGCAGTAACATGAAGTAGCAGTAGTAACACACCGTCAACAAATGCAGTAATATGAAGTAGCAGTAGTAACACACCGTCAACAAATGCAGTAACATGAAGTAGCAGTAGTAACACAACGTCAACAAATGCAGTAATATGAAGTAGCAGTAGTAACACACCGTCAACAAATGCAGTAACATGAAGTAGTAGTAGTAACACACCGTCAACAAATGCAGTAATATGAAGTAGCAGTAGTAACACGCCGTCAACAAATGCAGTAACATGAAGTAGCAGCAGTAACAATCAACAAATGCAGTAACATGAAGTAGCAGTAGTAACACACCGTCAACAAATGCAGTAATATGAAGTAGCAGTAGTAACACACCGTCAACAAATGCAGTAATATGAAGTAGCAGTAGTAACACACCGTCAACAAATGCAGTATGAAGTAGCAGTAGTAACACACCGTCAACAAATGCAGTAATATGAAGTAGCAGTAGTAACACACCGTCAACAAATGCAGTAACATGAAGTAGCAGTAGTAACACAACGTCAACAAATGCAGTAATATGAAGTAGCAGTAGTAACACACCGTCAACAAATGCAGTAATATGAAGTAGCAGTAGTAACACACCGTCAACAAATGCAGTAATATGAAGTAGTAGTAGTAACACACCGTCAACAAATGCAGTAACATGAAGTAGCAGTAGTAACACACCGTCAACAAATGCAGTAATATGAAGTAGCAGTAGTAACACACCGTCAACAAATGCAGTAATATGAAGTAGCAGTAGTAACACACCGTCAACAAATGCAGTAACATGAAGTAGTAGTAGTAAAAATGCTTTATAGTCCGGAGTATAAGACCTAGCATTGTTCAAATTCATGAAGAAAGTCTCAAATTCACTATTTTGCATTGGTTTATCAATGAAATTAAAATAGAGGTGAGACCCCAGCAAAATACCTTTTTGTTTCCGAGAAAATTATCAATAAATTTTGCCATATATTTTAATAGTAAAGGCACAGGGATCCCATTTCAAATAAAAAGAAAATCGACAAAACAATTTAGTTCTCATCGCATTTATATCCTCTTGGAAGTAAGTATTATTAAGCGATATATAATTCGTATAAATTGTCATTTATACCAGTAAATTTCACATACTTTCAATAAAAAAATGAGAAGAATATTTGGGATTTCTTGATTTATTGGTGTTATTAAATTTTACAAGAGCATGAAAATGTTTAATAATGATATTGTATCACCTGTCGTCTTCACTGCAGTGTATTCTTTTGATTCATTTTCGGGATTATTTAGGGAATATTACTTACTTATTAATCTTGGTAACAGCTACCACCACATTTGCACAATGCTGTGCATGGAAGATGGACTTGGTACATTTGCACAAGCCCCTACATGCTTTCTTGCAACCACAGTGCACCAGTTCGTTGCACGCTTTGGAAGCCTCTGGAAGAGTGCTCCATGTAGGAATCCATCTGCCATTATTTTGCCATCCCCACTGCGAAGGAAGCGGTAACTGTTGAACTGAAACTAACGACTGACCCCAAACATGACCAGCCTGATATGTTGCCCTCCGAATGTGCTGTACCAAGGAGGCTTGGGTTGGTGGAATGTGGTCGATTGTCTTAGTACCTTGTGCAAATATAGCTTGTCTAGCATCATTGATGTTGGAGAGCGGGCATGTGCGGGAATACATAATAATGATAAATCTTTCAATTTTTCCATTTCTTCTTCTGAGATGGATTCTTTTGGAGATGAAAGAAGCTGAAACACACTGGTAACATCAGGAAAAGACTTCCAGGCTTGAAATGCAGTCTTTTTACCTTTTCCAGCAAAGAACGACACAGTATCACAACCAGTGACAGCATGAAAGAAGGGTAGGGCTTCACATTGCTCCTACTCAACGAGCTTTGTGTAATGTTATGAATTGGTAAGTACCTCATGTGTTTACCAACACCAAAAGCAATCAAAGTTCATCTACATCTAACTTGTGCACGTTTGCTATTGCTAACACAACAACATCTGTGTCTACAGTTCTTATGACAATTTTCCTCATTCCACCTTTCGCTGCATGGTTTGCATGAATGAAAATGCGCGTATCGGCCTCCTCGTGATTGCAGGGCTAACTCATCTTTTCGATTGGCTTCGAACTTATTATGTCTTCCTCAAAAGTGCTTACAATTGTAACATTTGGCAGTTGAATCGATGTTGCTGCCTGACTGAGGTACTTGAAAAGTTCTTGTTTGTTGTCATCTGATCTTAAAAATGATTTCCAGTTTGCAGGGATCACAGCCATGTCACATACTCTTCTTCTTGCCCCTACAGCGCCTCGCGATGAACGAGTACCCTGCTTAAGGCTGTCGGGTATATAACGGTCCCAAACAAGATCTATTCTTCTAATACCATTTGCTTGTTGAACAATATAAGGAACAAACACTGATTTGGAGTATTCTTGAAAGGTCTTACACTTCCCTGGGCTAAGCATGTTTACAATAGCTGCGGCATCCAAGATTTTGACATCAACATTTGGACAGGTGGTCTGCACATCAGCTTCGAGACAATCAATCAATTCTGATTTCTGGCCACTTCGCATCTTGTCCCCTGATGATAATGAAGGAGGAGTACTCTGGTTTTCATGCTTAAAAAATTCTTGGAGATTCCCTTCTCTTGACTGACAAGCAATGTACAACCTTGCAAAAAGATTGCAGTCATTCTTTAATGTTGTGACTTGAAGTTTCGTCTTGTTGGTTGTCGTTGGTACTGATGTTCCAAAAAGTGGAAGCTTATTGCGTTCAATTGTGTCAGTTATTGGTGTGTTACACTTTTCAAGTCTCTCTTCGACGTACTTAGTGTATTGTGCTTCTCCGATCTTTCGAGCTGTATAAATCGACTCTATAACACACTCAGGCTCTATTTCTTTCGTATCTACGACAATCAGATCCTTGCTATTTTCCATAAAGGGTTTCCAAACTCCTTTAATGCAGCAGACATTGATTTTACATCTTTTGCAAAGTTCTTTTGGACAGATGGTGTCTGTTCGTGGTGAGTAATGTTCTTTGTAGAACACTGAACGCCAAAGGAACACTCAAACTCTCTTACCAGTCTTGCAATTTCAGGTCCTGCGATCATCCAACGTCTTAGGGCCGTTGGGCACTCAGTGAGGCCCACTGCTCCACCATCACCTTTTATCATTTCGTTCTCTTGCTCGTGGTTTTGGTCAAGGGACATCATAGAAAAACGATGTTGGGACTTCTGAACCACAAATTTTCCATGTGCACTAAACTCTGTAAAAAGAGTAGGATGCGTTTTCTCTAATCGTAAGAGATCTCACATGTACTGGCAACCATCTAGAGTAGTTAGACAAGTTCATCGCAAAAAACCAAGGAAGTACCTTTCCAAGCACTTGTAAGTAGACTTGGAAGTTACCCTCTCTGGTAGCCTTAACAAACTGCAGTAGAAGAATTTCGAGGTCTAATACTGTCGCCCAGTATTTGAATTGCGGGCAAAGCTCACTTTGTTCTTTTATCCAAGCTTCATAACTTTTGGGGCTTGTCTTCACAACTTTCGATGTACTCCTGGTAAGCAATTTTCTGCATAAGGTAAATTGCACAGGCACTTACTTGGTGGACATAGCGAGATCTCGTCACGTGCGATCCTTTCAAAACAGAATCCGCTCTTCCACTTGTCATAACCTCAGCATGAATTAGAGCACTTCAAAGTAAAATATATGTTAGTTATTAGATTGAGATTATAAAAACAACAAATCTACACCATACCTTGCCCACCCACTGTTAGTTAACCAATGTCCAATCATCTTTAATATTGCCATCTCAATATGCAGGCCACCCATCATTACCATGTACTTATCTTCACCGAATTCATTTTTGTTGTTCCACTGTATTTGCTTAGCGAGTGCATAGAGTGGTTGGTCCATCGCTATAACAGGAGTTTGATTAGGGTTTAAGAACTTAGTAGATTCTTTGACGGTTTTCATTGCATGCTTTATCATAGCCATAGTATGAGCATTGTCTTCAAAAAGTGGCAATAAAGAGGTGATTGCATTGGGCCTCAAAACTACGTTTTGCTCAGATGCAAAGTAAGCTGACCATGATAAGTAATCCTTTTCTTCAAGCTTTTCTTTGAGTAAAAGTTCGTCGACCCTTTTTAGCCATTTCTCCTCTTCCTTGATGCTTTTATTTATCAGGTCTTGTTTAGGTTTAAAAGAGCCAGTGACTTTGGGACAAAGAGATCCTTTTACCTTCATCTGTGACAGGAGTTACAGTTGTATAGAATTCAGGTAAACTGTTGACGACCTTTGACTTTGTGGGAGTGTTATCCTGTGGCACTTGTTCTCGTTCTTCTCCTTGTGAGTCAAGAGAAGGATGTTGTGTAAGAAATTGCTGTTCCATGAAATGAATTTTTAGCGGTTCTTGAGGACGGATTGTGATCGATATTGTCAACTTGGCCTGTAGTAAAGATATTCTTTCTTAATTTTGGAGGACATACAACACCCTCCTTCTCATACAGTTTGCAACACTTGTTTCCCAGATCTGCAGATATCTGCATTAGTCTGTCATAAGAAATGCAAAGACCTAGCTTATAAAACTTGTCGACCAATGTTTTTTCTTGTTTCTGCATGGACAACGAGCGCCGTGGAAGTGGTTAATGGTGTCTCTTGACTTGTCATGTCGAATGGCATTGCTAGCACCTGATCGTACATGCTTTACTGAATTAAATATTAGCAGTTGGGAAATCGTTAAAGCGGCACTGGCTCCTGACACCTCTTGTTTCTTTTGATTATTTATATTTGGACCCTCTAAAATCATATTTATCAGGGCAAGTAAACTATCGGGGACTGCTTGTTGTTGGCATTCTGGTGTAAACGTGCCTTCAAAGGGTTCCTTTTCAAGAACATTTTTTCGTACTATACTAGCAGCTTTGCAAGGTACAATGCAGCGGTGTCTAGGTTCCTATTGTGTACAAAAGCCATAGCTGTTCCAATATCATTTGGCATTGCCAGCTTCACATCTTTACCATCTTTAAATGCATGCAGCTCTGGTATTTGAGTGAGAAGTCGTTCTTTCAGTCTTGTGGAGTTGATACGTCCTTTCACTTCTACTCCTAATTGTTCAAGTCTTGAACAATAGAGCTCTGACAATTGAGACATCTTGAAAACTGCTTCACCAGCTGCCAGGCTTTCACTAATATATAGGCTTAATTCTGCAAGGGCTATTGCCTCAGGTGTTATTTCATTTTTATCATCAACAGCACTATCTTGTGGTTGGTTTAATTTGCTTCTCTGACGGTTATAGAGAGATGTCAAGCATGATTTATGGTAATATGCATCTCTTGCATGCATATCACCTTGTGCTAATTTTGCTAACAGTTTGTAATCTTGAAGCGTCTCGGCCGCTGATTGAACATTATTGGTAATTGACATGGTTTCTGCTTTATGCAAATCACCCTCTGTGCAATCACAGAAAAACATGATAAAGCATTGCTACTCTTACTTGACAATTCAAATGTCTTTCTTCTTGTTTTAGCTGGACTAGTAGCTCCTAATATTGCTGGATCCTCAGTTGAAAATTCCTCTTCACTTTTGCGCTTTTGTGCCCGCTGAAGCTTTAGCGTATTGCATTTATTATAGCACGATTTGTGCCATGATGCTCTGTGATTTCTTAAAGTATTTTCAATGCCTGTTAAAGTATTATTATAAGGCTAAATAAGTACAATTTATGGCTCATAGTTGATCTGTGAGTTTATTTCACTTTTAATTGATTAGAATTCCTTACCTCTGCCATCATCAAGAGAAGAAAGTGGAATGTTAATAGGTAGCGAATCAAGTTTCTCGAATTCTTTCAAGTTTTCTGCAATTGTCTTGTAACTTGAGCCAGCAAGTAAAGTATTTGAAGCTTTTTCCGGACATAAAATCTTTTCTTTTGTGTCTTTTGACATAAGGCACAAAGGTTCCAGTTTAAAGACATTTTAAAAGCGAAAAATAATCAAAAATTATCGAGAAATAGCACTATATCGTCTGAAATGCCAAATTAACTAGGCGACCAGGCTTTTGCCACAGGGAGCCCAAAATTTATGCAGTTTTCGAAATAACCTTTAAAAGGGTAACTTTCGACAATTAATTAATTTTTACCGGAATTTTCATGGTGTTTTGTTGTTTTTATATAAAATACAACATTTTTATTTAACATTTTTATATTTAAAACAGTTTTATAAAAGCCTCATTAAGCCCGCGATTTAAGCCGCTGACCAAACTTTTAATCGGCTCAAAAGTACCCTAAACAAGCTGATCCTGCTGGGGTCTCACTTTTATTTTGATCTATAAATCAAATTAGCAATTTCTGGTAAGTTTCATGCTTTCTTCACATGTTTGAACAATCTGACCAATTTTCGGAGCTTATCCTCCGGACTATTAGCGATACACACCGTTTTATCGTCAACAGTTTCGTACAGCCAAATTAAATATAGACTAGTTGGCATAAAGCGCGACTTAAGTGAGTCGAAATATGCTTTATAAACGACAAAAACTTCTTTATGCGGTGTCGAACGCTTACATATAAGCATTTTTTATCACTTAGAAATTACTTAACTACAACGTATGCCATTGCGCAATCGCACATTTAGGCCTTTTTGAGCTTACGTCAATACTTAAATATTCAAAAATTGGAAAGGGGGTTCAAGGTGTTTACTTCAAAAGAGTAGGTTGTGTTGTTCATACTCGGTGGCTGTTTTGCTCAATATCAAGATATCCCAACCTTTTACAAAGTAACAGACACACATACCTGCCTCTAATATTACACCTGAGAAATCCAAGGGCCACAGCCTGAGATAGCCATCGTCAGAGCCTGTCATACAGAAAGCATCTGTGACAGAGATGCAGTTGATACCAATTCCGAATTCACCCGGGTTCACGTGAACAAGATCCTCTCGGCTTCCGGTCGGAAGTAGTCGTCGCACCTTATGAATCACCATCAGTTCGTAGTTGACTTCAAAAATTATTCCACGGTTCGAAGAAACATATCTGAAAATTAAGAAACAACATTTGAAAAATCAGCTTTGAAGTTATCTTTCTCAATCATGTTGATGTTTATAACATAGATAAGAGTTCACTTGTGAATGAAGGGAAAAACGCTAAATTGTTTGAGCGATAAAAGCATTTGGAAATGGGCTGAATTTCAATGAAGACATTGTCGAAAATTGCACCGATTTCCTGATAAACAAATTGAATAACAAGCAAAAATTATTTTCTCTTTAGCTAATTTCTCAGAGAGAATAACTTGACACTGATCTATACATTAAACAGGAGTCAGTTCTACCAATTGACAACATAGAATACATTGAGTAAATTGAGTTACTACCGCGGTGTATTACAAAAATCAAATGTTCAAAGTAAAAAGTTGTGGTCACTGAGCGTGGATTTTGGAAAAGAAAAGTACCTTTATGGTTGTTGGGAAAGCAAAAATTTTTGTTAACTTAGTGAACGTTCATGTTTCGCCATTTCAAAAATTAGAAACTAATATTAGCCGTTCAAAATCAACCGACAGCCTTAGTAATGTCTCCACCTCCCCCCCTCCCGTGCAACAATATTTAAACGCCAACAATACAAAGTCTTACATCATTCGATATTTCTTGTTGTTTCCATTTACAAGTTCGTAGCCAAAAGCAATATCGGTAAACTGGATTGAATGATGACTACCAAGATCCAGGGCAGATGAACGTACGGAGCCGTGACGAACCCTCCAGATTCGTATATTATCAAGTCCACACGATATCATCCTTCAAAATTCACATCAATTTGCAATAGTAAGAAAGCTTACAAACTGGAAAGAACCAATCTTCTTTCAAAAACATCCCCCTCCCAAAAAAAAAACCAACAAAATCAAGAAAAGTTTGGACTCAGACATACACTCTTCAGTTCTTTTATAAATTTCAAATAGAGTAATAACAGTGCGGCAAGAAACATTTCAACCAACTCAGTCAAAAATGCCCGTAACACTTTTAATCCAAGCAGACAGCAATCCACTCAAGAAAAACGGCGTTTCCCGCTTCTGATGTGTAGCGTATTTTATACGCAAAAAATGTCAAGTGTTAACTAAAATAATATATTAATAGTATTGTTTCTTAAATAAGCAAAATGGTGGTTGCAAACGTTTGTCAGTAGGTAAACAACATAAAAATGCAAATTCATAGCAATACATTCACCTTGTGTCATCGAAAGGAACAATTTTGATTCGCATAATGTCAACGTCAGTATGTGCCTTGGCAACCACAGCAATTTCTCCAGTCCTTCCACAACGTGATGTATCCCAAACTACCACCATCTATACACAATCGTATCCACAGTTAGTAGAAACATAAAAGCATTCTAGGGTGTATGTTTTGATTCGATTGCTATTCTACTCGCCATCATCTATTTTTTTAAAATGCTAGTTGCTCAAGTCGGGTAGCAAAAACAAACATGGCCGCCGACCATGTCTTTTCTAAGGTTTCAGGTGATAAACTTCGTTGTTTATATCAGAGAACAATTCTAGAGTTTCCACTAAACACAACATTAACATATTTAAATAAACAAAAATTCCCATTACAATAACTAAACATGCACAGTTATAACATTGTGAACAAGAGTTGTTTGCTTTTTAATTCAAACAATGTCAACAACAACAAATGCATAAAAAATAAAGGAAAACTACAGCTGCAGTTTTCTTTATATGAATACTGGTATACTCTACTGAACCAATTAGATTATTCCCTCTCGATGTCTATTTGATAGCTGAATTGGGCTTTGCCTTCATCAACTTTCACATCATAGAAATCTCGAGCTCGTAATCAAATTTTTAAATTGTAAGAACAACTTACAAATAAAAACATTCTTGGTTAAATATCATTAAGCGTATCCTGTTCTTCTATGAGCATCTTAGATCACTGCTTATGTTAGTTACAAAATCATGATAGACACATTTTTCAATTTTTCAATTAGAATTTTTCAAAAGAAAGACCTACATTTTGACTTTACCTGTTTACCGTGATTGTCTTTTCCACAACCGCACAAAACTCCACCACTATTTGAGAAACTGTTGAAATAAAAATGGCGGGAAATTGTGAGCAGAAAAAAACTGGGTCCAAGTGAACATTTAAGCTAAGACAGTTTTTAGGTAAACATTAGGTATACTTTAGTGAAGCAATATTTTACTCGTAAACAAGCATGTCTGAAATATGTCTGCATGTCTCCTAATTTAGCTAACGGTCGTAATGAACTTTCTTTACCTAATAAGATTGATACTAGTTGAATTGTTGCATTTAAAAATTTAGATGAGAGTAATGTTCCAGTAAAATTGAGTACAGTAGATTTACGAAAAATGGAGATAAGGGCAAACCAGAGCGCTCTATGTGTAATTACGAATAGAGGGCTCTAGAACAAACACCAAAAATGGAGATTTTGCCATGGTGTTTCAACCCAGTGAGATAATGCATAGATTGTGAGCAGCTGTACTCTTCATTGCCTCTTTAGAACAGTAAACCAGCTTTGAAAACAGATTCATTAAACATGCGGCTCTAAAGACAAGCAGTTCTAAAAATAAAGTAAAAATCTGAAGAATCTGAATTTTCAGCTTTGAATGACGAGTTAACTTATTCAGCTGAACTCCCTTTTACCGATTTTGATCATTTAAGAAAGAAAAGATGTTCAGTGTGTTTGCACAGGCATATGAAAACCTAGGAGACTTTTATGTTTGAATCCACAAGACAAAAAAAATTACATGGGAACAAATCGAAATTGCATTTCTCACCTTAAGCAATAAAGTTCTCTCACTTGAGAGTTAAAGATCGCAATACAATCACCGGATTGATATCGCCACACACGAATCACAGTTGACTGTCCAAGTTGCCCTGAAGCTAGTATCGAAGAGTTTCCGTTAAAGGTAAGGGCAGAAACCTGCAATGAAATGAGCGCTAATGAGAAGGAATCCACGTGAATACAAGAGATTGCAGTAATTCCGTATTCTAAAACACCCAAAACAGATTCCCAATCCAATGTCAAGTACGATAAGATTAAGGATTAACAGATCTTTACGCCTGCATTCTAAGAGCTCATTGAAGTTGAACGAGTGGATGATTCTTCTTGATAAGTGGAACTAACTACTCGCTGACATTCTACCTCGAACATACTGAGTACATTATATTGAGCACAGTGAGATTTTACTAGCTTTTTTAGCAAATGATTTCAGTTAATAATATAAAACAAAAATCTCCAAATACGTTGTTTTACATTAAACTACTTCATTTAAGCGAACAGATTGCGAACATAATAGCAGATCCCAAGTACATCTGCATGATTGCCCAATAATAAGAAGCAAAATTGACCTTGTCGGTGTGTCCAATGAAGAATCGTTGATGCCCCGTAGATATCTCCATGGAAACAATCACGGCATGACATGGATACACGACGCATGCGCCATTCTTTGTCCAAAATAATTCCTTGAAATTCGCTCCACCGTAGCCAACAATATGTTTCAATTTCAAAATCGGATCTGGTTTCAAACTCTAAAAATGCCAACAAGTCGTAAATCCCAAGAATATAAAGATAAAAATAAACTACGTTGCAATAGTGAGTTTACTCAGAGACGCAGCTAAACCGCAAGTCTCAGTCCTTTGGTAAGCCTGGACTATTTCATAACACTATCATTATTCATTTCCTTAGAGGAAAAATTATATAAATGAACTAAATAATGAGGCTGCCTTAGCCACTAAGTCTGGGTTGATATTTAACCCGGGTCAGACTGCAATAGGTGGTTATGCTTACACAAACCATGATTAGAAATGATTTTTAAACCCGATTCAGCAATTCTCAGGCAGGGTTAGCTCGAACATAAAGCCAAAGACAAGCCAACCCGGGTTTTCATGAAGAAATGAGCTAAACTTGACGCTTTAACACCTACCTAACCCGGGTCCACCCAGTTCTTGAGAAGGGTGCCACGGGTTGGTTAATTGACCCGGCTATCGTGTAAACGTTAATAGGCGGGTATTTATTAGTAGACGGGTTGACCCAGGTTGGCACATCAACCCGGACTCGTGTAAACGGGAAAATACTTCCAGATGTCAACCTTATTCCAAGATCTTCCTGATATGCAACTGTAGAATAAATGATGGAAAATCTCACCTTTATTGAACGCCGACTTATAAGAGTCTCTCCCTCCTTCCTTGCCGAATGTCTCTGTAAAAAATATAATTTGAGTAGATTCTGGTACGTATCTTCCTATGAGTATGACAATCTTTTATACCTATGGTAACTCGATACAAAACCGCAAAGTTTCCATCATAACTTTGCACTAATAATAAATATATGAGCTGCAAATACAGCACATTCTCGTTAGTTTCTAAGAAAAATAAAATTGACAATAGCTAATAATAAAACACATCTTCTATATCACACCTTAACTCTATTTTCTTTATTCTTTTGATGATTACTTGGTGATAAAGTATCGATATTTTTCCTCGATTTGTAAGCGTACACTTGCGTATCAAGGTGATCTTGAGCTTGGAGACCAACAGGGATGTTCAGACCCACAGGTGGCACGTGCGTTGCTACTACTTGGCTACGCTGGAAAAGACGATTAGATACATAGCGAAAAGTAGTTGAAACATTGGATCATGGCTACTTCTATAGACTTGTTAACAAGATCCAATTTTTTCGGATCCCAAAAACTGATCGTGAGAATTCATATAGCTAAAGTGAGCTTCCGATAGTCAGATCAATCTATTTAAAAAATCGGATAGAAATAGAACTTGCTCTATTTTCATCCGACAAGATCAAAGGAAGCCGACTAGCAAAATTACATAGATTAGAAAAAGTCTTGGAAACAAGAACAAAAATAACAAAACTATCTCGATAAATGTACTGGATATAGCACAAGCTGTACACACAACTTTAACTATCCAAACGAATATAATTATCAACAAAATTATCGGACCATCTGAACAAGCAACCAAAAGTCGGAACCGAAACAATCGGATCCGACAAATCGATCGTGTGAACGAGCCTTATGGCTTCATAAAAGTTTCTAAAATATTGATAAAGTTTGCTTCACATATTTCATACCTTTGTAGAAGATTGATTAGAGGCCAGCTTTTCCACCAATGCAAGCCTTGAAGACAATGCATCCTGTTGCTGACAAAAAAAACACCCAAAATGATCGCATTTCTCACACACATTACCAAGTCACGTCAAAATGCAACTCTTAGGGACATCACGTGGCTCGAATGACGACATCAAACAATCTCAATGCTTGCACTCAGTTGCAAAGCTAACCAGATTTTTTACTCCTACAATACAGATTTCTCACCAAAATTATTATTCATCTCTTTAGAAAATCAATTCCATTCATTGCCTTCGCAGTGATTGAGCATAAAAATATTTGCATTGTAGGACTAAAAAACGGGCTGCCTTCGCGACTACTCATTTGAAAATAATCACATCAATCTCCATGGTTATGCTTGGACTTAATGCTTGTTGTTTGGGGAGACCGACAATAAGCTTCACATAATTCTATTGAATTACCGTTTGTTCTTGTTTCTTGTAGTCGTCGGTCACTACTTTTAAATCCATTCCGTCATTACGAATGATCCCCTTCTTCATAGGTTTGCTCTTCCCGGGAAATTTTATGACGTCATACAACTCGTGCCAGTCCATACCTTTGGGCACGTGGAATGCCATGTCACGTGGTACTGGTACGTAGCCAGTAGTCATTAGCCCAAGTCTTCTGGCTTCGTTGATTGAGAGCCCAGGTTCGTATTCCGTGTCGCTCGTGTACAGTCCTTTCACGAGCATGTTCGCGCATAAACGAATATTTTTCAAATAGGCGTATTGCTGATTGAGGAAAAACGAGATGATGTGACGAAGGTCCAGCATTAGGAATGTATAACGTGTCGATAATGATACATCACCAACATTTTCTGAGAAAAAGGACAAGCGTGGATGAAGCATTTTACTTCCTGGAAGCAAATTTCAAACCTAAAATACTGTTGGTGAAATTTTATTTTGATCAGGGCCGTAGGTAGAACGTTCATTGGTATTCATGTATTTAGTTGTCCCGGACTGACTTATTTTGAAAAAAGCTTTCTAAAGAAATCAGTCGGCACAACTGATTACATGAACATACCTCTATTAACGTTCGAGCTGCGCTCCTGACTTTGATCACCATTGAAAACGATAATTCACAATCGCATTCAATGATTATAGCCTGTGAACTTCGTCATTGTTTACTTTACAGTGTTATATGTGCGTACCTGGGACCGGTTGCACGAAGCTTGGATAGCGTTATCCATTGAATAGTCAATTTTCAGCATTTGGGAATGCCCCCCCTTACAGGCAACCAAGTTTCCAACTCTGCGTTATCGAGCATTCTTGCTCACATTAACGCAATTGAACACACTCCCAACCTGGACGATCATAACGATTTCTATGAACTCTTCATTCATGAAAGCCTTCTAATCAATAAATACAAGCCTTCACTTAACGTGCAAGGACGTTCCATTCCACTTAACCTCTTTTAATTTCACTATATTTTACCTCCTAACGTCCTTATCATGTAATCCATTTGATCATGACACCACCTCCTTTAGTAGTAATTTAACACCTTTTTGTACATATAATATCTTGTCTTAACATCCAATTAATAAATTATTACCTGTCTGAAGATGTCTTGAGTAAAGACAATAAATTCAATTTTACAACTTTTGGTCTATTTCTATGGCTTTAATTAAAACTTTATGTTGGGCATTAATTTTTATTACACGAATTCGATTTCCGCTCAGCAAGACTCTTGCTACTATAGTAAATTTTCAAACATGTAAAAATGGTGTTTACATTTTCGTTACGACAAAGAAACTTTGTAATCTTAGAAGAAATATTCTATTTCAGTGATTGCTCAGCTCAAACCTTATATTTTTCCCCCTTTATGAAGTTTTCTAACCGTTTGAAAAAATTTGTTATCTAATGGATAACGCTATCCTGACTTCGTCCAACGAGCACCTGTATTCCAAATAAATTAACGTTATATTTTAGAAAGTTTTCATGCAAGATACAAAATATAATTTCCTTCTAGGAAATCCTGTGAAAAATTTCTAAGGGACCAGCACCAGCCAGACTGCAAGCTGTGTCGAGCTATGTAAAATTTTTGATGTTCATACATTGTGTAAACTATAGATTTCAAAACAAATGAATAACAATGCTAATAAATTGAGTTTTATACAGTATGACAAAACCTGAAGACTGGCTAATTCACTGGAATCGGCATTTTTCAAGCTAACAGACTTTGTACATTCAACAACTGATATATATTCTAATTGTATGATCATTAAAGTGCTTATGACACGACAATTATATGTTAGTACAAAATGAAGCATACTCCGAATAAAAAGTTCATGTTTAAATCAACATTTGAGAAGGAAACACAACAATTTTTTATTTGAAAATTTTTTTGTTGAGAATTTTTATTTTCAAATTTTTTATTCGGAGTATGTTTTATTTTGTACTACATAAATGGCAATTAACCGTGCAGTTTTTTTATTGTGTTTCACAGAGCACATAAAATGACTTAAAAATTCCATAAGTTGATTTGTATGATTTTACATCTTTCTACAGATATTAAACTTTGTTAATTATGCAGAAACATCACTATGACATCACATTGCATAATAACATTTCAAAAACCATCAAAACTTTCGCATCGCAAAAACATTTAATTTGCACATATGACAGTTTAATAAATAAAGGAGCAAATGCATACCTCCATAGATGCCAAAGTTATTTGCATAATAAACAAAGTTCAATACCTCAAGCAAGAGGTAAAAATAAACAAATTCTAATCAAGAAGTCATTAAGTCATTTTAAATGGTCTTTGTAATGCAAATATGAAATTTTGTGTTGAAACTTGGTTTCATAAGCACTTTAAAAAGTAGAAAAAATGATCTTAGCTCAAAAAAGCATATGTAGGTACCATGATTTGTAGAGCTCGCCAATATTGCCTCGTCCAAAGAATTGGGGGGTGGTCGAGGTACAAATGGAAATTGCAACCATGTTGATGTGGACTTGAATTCTTTAAAAAGGTTTGAAAACGAGATACGTATTGCAAGACCATCTTCAGTTGCCACATCAATGTGTGCGACAAAAAATTTGCCTGATATTGGTTTAAACAAGATGTAGAGATATCGGCCAACCAGCCCCAGTGATTGCGTAGATGTTCGAGGAAACTGAATGTAGTTGCCTGCAGGAATTGAGCCCGCAATGCGATACACGGTACATTTCAGCTGTTTGTCCTGTAAGAATACGAATAATTTGTTTAAATAAGCTCATTTCAGATACTTGATTAGGTAGTAAGGTCAAATCAAGAACCAAAAGATCATTGAATAAATTTGATTTAGCCTATTCATCAGATGTAGAGCTTGGCATGTACACAGACTTGCTTCTGGTGTGTAGTGGAAAAGCCTCATGAAACGTTTACTTCACAGATTTTTCAGCAGAATTATATTATGTATTACTTTTGAAAATTAATCCCATTTGTTATGTTTCCGGTGATTGGACACAAAAATATTTCCAATATTGGGGTGAAAAATAGGCTGGCTTTGTCACTGCTTCTGTGAGACAGTTGACAAGTTTAAATTTACAAATTAAACTAAAATTTTCATTATTTCTCCTTATGAAACAGTGTTAAGTTCAAAATAATTTGTATGATGCATAAAATTACTGGCGGGGGAGGGGGGGCTGGCCAGATGGCCAACCCTTGATTGATGATTTTTGGAGTGGGGCAGCTCATGTACAGCCCCCTGGTTTTGCCATAAACGACGCCTGTATCCAAAATATTTTTCCTAGAAAATTTTTGAAATCAAGTCTAGTCACTTTTAAAACATTAGACAATTTACAATCATATATTTTACCATAATTGCTGTAACATCGCCTTCTTTTGCACATTTCTTCCATTCTGAAGTGTTATAGTGTTTGAAAAGATTCACATAAGGTTTCTGCCACACTGTGGGTGATTAAAGGTCATCATTGATGATATTTTACCAGCTGTTTTGTTCATGTACATATATAATGCTTATTGCATTTGCCCAAGTAAATAAATGAAATAATATTATCATAGTAACGAAATATAAACATCAGAACGAATGAAAGGATTTTACTTTGTAATGTCACTTACGTTTGGACATTTTTCATTACAACCTAGACCCTAGAATTTACAGACGATGTCTTCGTCTCATCTATGATCTGTTCACGTTCATGCAGTACATTTTTGCAATTTTTTCTGCCGCCATTTTTTTGAATTCTTTATAGTTGACTTTTTGGTCTTTGAAACCTACTGCGCATGTCTTGACTACTCGACACAGCACACCCAAACAGAGCAATAGAAATATATTTTATCTGAACAATTCTTTCACGAATCACGATGCTACGCACAGAAAAACTTGGGACAACTGCACGAGCTTTCAACTCGTATAATATCTGAATTACTTTATCATCAGCCAGAAAATTCAAAATACCATCGCGACTCCTGTATTACTCTGTCCAATGCGCTTCTATTGTTCAGTGGTTTGATCAATGTTAGTCAAAGAAATTCTAATCATTAATTTCAAATTCAAAGTACTTTAAGATGAAAATTACGGGACAATTTTCTAAAGAATAACATCTTACCAATAGAGTTGTCTATAAGATGTTTGCATGTAAATCTGAATGAAAAGCAGTAAAAAATATTTTCACGTACTCTAGATTCACCATTGACAATGATGACATTCATTTTCCTGGTAAAAAAGGGCGCTAACTGCTAATTCTAATTTGTGCTAAACATATATTTCATACTTCTTGTCATATATGTCAGCGGTAATATATCAAAAAACTACGGTGACAAAATCTCTTGACGTTCAAAAACCGAAATTTTTATTAATGACATTTAAATGCATGATAAAAACTTTCCTATCATACGTGTAATTTACGCAAACAATTCAAACGTTCCTTTCAAGAAGGCACTCAAAATTACGTACAAGTTTAAAAGCAAGCATTAAAAATCGCTGATACAGCTTGACAATATTTTACCCCAATGACACGCCCCTAAATCTCATTTCAATTTTCTGCTTTTTTCGTTTTCTTTAACTTTGCACAACCCTTTCCGTACCATCCTGCTCCCAAAGTCCATTGTCAACCCACCCTTCCATTTCATCGACGTCGCCCTCGGTGTTGTTTTCCAAACAAAGTTTTCTTTTTTTCCTTCGACTCTATTTGTTTGACAAGCAGTGCTGCTTCAAGTTCAAGATTTTTGTGCTTTTTGTGTGTATTTCGTGTTTTCGCAATGGAGTAGACAAGTGAAACATTGGATCCTTTGCCTGAACAAAAAGGGAAATCTTATAATCTAAGCTGTTATGACTCTAACGTTATCAAGCTAAGGCATATTCGCAATAAACGTTGGCTAGGCATAGCTACGTAGGACAAGTAGTACAGAGGTCTCGAACAAGGCAAAAGACTGTCGTACATCCCCCGTCAGTGGCATAGATACCACACAAGTTCGTTCTTGCTGCATATGTAAATATGGCGGTCTTAGAGCAACATAATATTCATATTTCATAGATATTTCATAATATCATGTTATTTTATAAATACACTGGTGAATAATCGCGCGAGAGTAGCGGCTGAACTAAGTTACCATGCCTGGTACTTATAAAGAAGTCAACCCTCAGCTACTGTCAGCCTAGTAGGAACAAATACGATCATAAAGACCAATCCACCTTTCCGACGGTAAACACACATGTCAAAAATACGAGATCAAATTACAAAATTCGAACAATCAAATGTCGGACACAGTGTTGATGAGTTTAATATGCAATTGTCAAAACGCAATCTACACGCACCAATTTTAGAGCTTTTTAACAAATTAATTGATAATTAATCTGAGCATGCGCAGTCGACTTAACCAGCTCATTAGTTGATGGTCATGACAACGACCACTTCATCTAATAGCACCGATTTTGAAGTAAATAGCATGCTTTTAACAATTTAATGGAGAAACTATCTGCGCATGCCCACTTGACTAATTGTTCATAGTCATGGCAACGACTTACTAGATGTATTTGCACTATATTTGTGGCAATTAGCTCGGTTGGTCGCAAATTATCAAAGAAATCATCTGGGCATGCGTGGTAAGGGTTTCCTGAAAAAAGGTTTCAGTGTAATGATTAACGATAATGTGCTGTAATATGTGGATTCTCAGGTTAGCAGTCCGATAGATGCATGAGTCGGAATCGTATAGATTATAAGTAAATAATTTTTATTCGATCTAGTAAATAATGATATAGTATAAATAACAAATGTGCAGTTTAACAGTATACCAAACGAAAATACATGAACTCACTTCTTTGCCGGGTCCTCACGATCTACATTAATTTCAATACAGGTTAGCCGATATAATAAAGTAATGCAATGATGAAGCTTTCGCCCAGGTTAGCATGTGGTAACTGTCAGCTGCACTATAGACTCAAATCCTTTTTATCCCAATGAATATTGCGCGTCAAACTACGCGTCAGTTAAAACATGCATAAATTAAACTCCAGTGCTAAATAATTATATCCGTGCAGTTTGTCAGCAATCCAATATGCTACTACGAATGATGCGCATACTTTAATTGTCATGTTAGTTTTTCTGTATTGATAAACGTAGTACTTTTCTTTATCTCAAACACAGGAAACTTAAATGTATACGTAAACACCTTTATGAATTAATCTTTATTCTAAAGTATAATTAAGAATATAAAAATTAAATGATCAGTTTATTGCAATATTAATTAAATTCACCAGAAAGTGAGTATGTATAATCCAACTTGGTCAGGAAAAATATTTTTTAAATTACATTCACATAAAAAAGGTTTTTAAAAACGGTATCTTTCATTCCTTCCGGGCTACTAACCTTTTCACAGACTAATTTTGCAGTTTAAAACTGTTCATTGATTTGGTTTTCTTTCACTGAAATTTTAGAAGCTCTTGAGTTCGGTTTGTTTTTCAATTCGTCATTCGACCTGACAGCAGCATGCACTTGAACAGGGACATTGTGGAATGTTTCGAGAAAATACACCTTGCGATCACCAATCTTATAAAATCGTTCTGGTTGTGGTCTTGGCCATGGTTGATCGTACCAATGTTGACCAACATTTTGAATAAGTCCCAAGCATTCTGTCCTTGAAGGCTCATAACTATAAATCTTTCCATTTACTAAATAATCATATACATCACTACCCATTTGTCTTTTCGAATCTGAGGAATCACAATTTAATTGTTGAACGACACTTGAATGGGAATCATTTATCTTAATTGTCTGACAGTTACCAACTTTACATAACATTTCAAACTTTTTGTCATTCGACATAATTAATGGATGTTTCATTGCCTCTTTGGCAGATGGTCTGTCTTCGGGTCGTAGATTTGAAATCCACGACATAAGGTCTTTAAGTGCCTCATTCAAGCCTTGAGGTTTTCCATTCAACATGATGATTGGTCTATGTGTTGTAGTTCGAAAGGGATGTTTCCCTTTTGTTGAAACATAATACATTACCATTCCTGAATTCTAAAAAACAAATGTAATAACAACAACATAATTTCATATGTCTTAGAACCATTCTTCAATATTAGACTAATGCCAAAGTCAGCAATCATAAATTTGCCTTTTTGACCTCGGTGCAATATTTCTCCGTATAGACCTCACGCTCGTTTATTTGGAGCTTGATAATTTAGTTATTACGTATTTACGTATTTCAGTGTTTTATAAACTACTTTAATGTACTTTATATCTTTTCTGCAAATTTCTATTTCACATGCTCCTTGTGAAAATTAACATAATTCGATGAGGTAAACGTGTTTGAATGAATATTTCATTCCATCTAAATTTACATAATTTTAACAAAAGAAATCCAGTTTTCGAATGGAACGGCGTGGTATAATTATAATGAATCAACCAAAAATGCTCTGGTATACGAAAAATTGTCAATAGAAGCTAGCTTTCGAATTCACTCACGTGTTATGAATTAGCCAACATAGACTGAAGTACACAAGTTTACGAGTAACAACCAATGAAATTCCAGTTTTAAACATCACTGCTGTGATAGAACGCCCAACGGAAGGTAATTATTTATTGACTTTCTTAAGTACAGTAAGAATAAATATACTTCAACTCTTGTTTTAAACAAAGAGGTATGTTGAGTTTTTCAACGTTACTATAAGACACAAATGCTTTGATTGTAACATTTGTAACTGAAGCAACTTGACACAAAGTACCAAAAAACAAGGTCAGACATTCAAATTTCGGACACTGTCGATCAGGTTCATCAACGCAATCCAACGTATAACAAATTTGACCAGAACGCGAGCCAATAATAAACGTCTTAACAATGTAATCAATTAGACAAGCTATGGTAACAGCAATAAGTTTTCCGTCAGGAGAATAACTGATATCACTAAGCAAATTAAAGTAATCGTGATGTTTTGGGTGAACAGCTAACCTTTTTCGATAGGCAAATTACAAATTTTCAGAATTGTCAGAAAGATTTAAAACGCGCCAAACACAAAATAGCCCGTAACGATCACATATTGCAAATTCCCCAAGGCCAAATGCAGGATTGTAGCAGCATTTATGTCCATGAATTTCTTCAAATTTTATATCCATGAATTTCTTCACATCAGATTTAAAATCTTCACTGATAAGTCCTAGTGCATCGCTCCTGTGACTGTACAAGAAGCTTTTCATTGATGAAAAATAACACAAACAACGTATTTCCATATTTGTTTCAATGTTGACAACATGCGATGGCAAAATACCGTCTAGTTTCTAAATAAAAAGAGATGTTTTAATCTTAATGTAGAAAAGCTCACCAGAAGATCAATACATTAATTATTTTATTATTATACCTCGCTCATACATATCTCATATTCAGGAAAGCTGGGGAGATGACGAACGTTCAGATTCGTCATCAGATGAATGGAAGACATCGCGCAACTCTTTTTAAAACCTGGAAAAAATCGATTTTATTTCGAAATCGCTACCATTCTCCTCTCGGAAGCATGATTTTGCGAAAGAGTTTGGACACAGGAAGTAAAATTTCCTGGTGTCCGCCATTTTTGTTTAAAAAATAAGCAAATATCTGGCAAATATAGAGAATTGAATGTTGAAAAGACAAATTTTCTGTTTTGTTTTCTTATACATGAATAGACAGCGATATGGTTTACTTTAAAATCGGAAAATCGTCAAGCTACGTTCTTAGTTACCTGGCGCTCGACGTTTTACCATCAACTATTTAACTGAAGCTAATTTTCCAGAGTTTTGGAGATAAAACAAGTCAATAAGCGGAAACTTTCAGTGCAAAATATTCCCCCGTTCAACGTTACGCAAGTCACCCCTTCCACATCAAAATAAAATCATTTGAAATGGTGAATAGTTTAAAATGCAATTGGTAAAATATTCTTTAGAAATGGTCAACGAACAAGCGTCATTTTTAAGTTACCTCGAAAATGAAATAGGCTGTTGCATGGCCTACTTCAATTACACGGCCTGATATCTTGCCATAGCAAGGCCAAAAATGCAAGGCCATTGAATTTTCCGGCGGTGCTCTTCGAAATTTTGATCTTCTTCCTTCAAAATTGTTCATTAGCCTTACTTTATGGTATAATCTTGTAGCTAAATGTCTAGCGATCATTTCAAGAGTTTATTGGCTGAAATAGGTCCATTTTTCGCCGAGAAATCAAAGTTTATAAATTGGTGCGATCGGCGGTTGTTTTGTTTATCACGCGCTCCTCTTCGTTCGAAAATTTTAGCTCTTAAATCTATCGTGGATTATCTATATTTGGTATCTACGTTATCCAGGTACTCTCCTCTACATTTCTACTAGATTTTTCGAGTCGAATTGTATACATTTTTTCTTTTATTTACGAAAATCTTCAAACCTATAATTATAGCGATGGTGCTTCCTATTTTCAACGGTGTCCTTCCTACTCCAACTACTCCTAAGAAAATTTCATGAAATTCAAACGATTTCATTGGTAAATCATACTATCCCTTACCTTTTCAAGCTTCGTCATTAATTGGAAATCTTGGTATTGGTTCTGCTCCATCCTGGGACATCAATATAAACAATAAATCGATCAAACTTAAAATAGATTTGTATGTTGAAAAGAACAATAACAGTTCTCATGAATTCCCAAAATCTCTACTTAACATACTATCAGCCTACAACCTTGTACAACCTACCTGGTCCTCTTCCTTTGCTGAAGAGAAACTGTCTTTCAAGTTTGAATGGAAACTACTCTCTGATGCTACTAACCAACCTGAACAAGTTAAAACTCCATCTACTAACTTACCTTTACATACTCCTGACTTTGGCTATACATCAACATCTAAATAGTATGTATATTCACCACCCAATATTACAACTCCTACCAAACTCTTCCACAATCATGCTGCTGCTTTTCTAAATCCTCTCACTCCTCCATACACTCCTTACCATCAAGGTACTTTTCAGGTTAATAAAGTCCTGAGAAGGACTGTTTTTGTTGTTGTTGATTGACTTTTCGACAACCTTAGCGGTAGTCATCTTCAGAGTCAAATGAGGAGTAAACGTGAGGTTAGCTCCTAACCTGACATTTACTCCTCAATTGACTCTAAAGATGACTACCGCTAAGGTTGTCGAAACGTCAGTCAACAACAACAAAAACAGTCCTTCTCAGCACTTTATTAACCTGGACGATCATCATTTACAAACATATAACGATACTCCCGTGTTCAAACCATTTACTTTAAGGTACTTTTCCTCATAAAAGGAAAAATACTCCATCTACACAAACTAAATCCAAGGACAAACCTAAACACAACACAATACATGTTAGTGACCCAACTAACAAAAAGACTTCATCTCACAGGTGGTGAATATACATACGATTTAGATATTGATGTATCGCCAAAGTCAGGAGTATGGAAATGTAAGTTAGTAGATGGAGTTTTAACTTGTTCAGGTTGGTTAGTAGCATCAGAGAGTAGTTTCAATTCAAACTTGAAAGACAATTTCTCTTCAGCAAAGGAGGAGGACCAGGTAGGTTGTTCAAGTTTGTAGGCTGATAGTATGTTAGGTAGAGATTTAGGGAATTCACGAGAACTGTTATTGTTCTTCTCAACATACCATTCTATTTTAAGTTTGATCGATTTATTGTTTACATTGATGTCCCAGGATGGAGAAGAACCAATACCAAGATTTCCAATTAATGAGAAAGCTTAAAAAGGTAAGGGATAGTATGATTTACCAATGAAATCGTTTGGATTTGATGAAATTTTCTTAGGCGTAGCTGGAGTAGGAAGGACACCGTTGAAAATAGGAAGCACCATCGCTATAATTATGGGTTTGGAGATTTTCGTAAATAAAAGAAAAAATGTATACAATTCGACTCCAAAAATCTTGTAGAAAGGTAGAGGAGAGTACCAGAAACACGTAGATATCAAATATAGATAATCCACGATAGATTTAAGAGCTAAAATTTTCGAACGAAGAGGAGCGCGTGATAAACAAAACAACCGCCGATCGCACCAATTTATAAACTTTGATTTCTCGGCTAAAAAAGGACCTATTTCAGCCAATAAACTCTTGAAATGATCGCTAGACTTTTAGCTACAAGATTGTACCATAAAATAAGGCCAATGAATAATTTTGAAGGAAGAAGATCAAAATTTCGAAGAGCACCGCCGGAAAATTCAATGGCCTTGCATTTTTGGCCTTGCTATGGCAAGATATCAGGACGTGTAATTTAAGTAGGCCATGGCTGTTGTGTTGTATTGATTGTTTTAGCTTTGCTATACTTCCCTTTAACACGATGAAAACAGCTAAAATTCACACTTACCAGAATAAATATTGTCAGAGCACGTTTCAATGAAGACGACATTAAACTAAAATAATTGATTTTAACGACCACGAGGTAGAAAAGGTCTGACGTCTGAATCTATTCTATCCACTAACACATATCCCAGAAGTCAGCATTAATATTTAACACGTCAATTACCAGTGTGGTCAGGGAAAAGAACCTTATATTTCTTAATATAAGTTTTAGTATTTCCTTATATTTCCTTGAAATATGCAGTAAGATTTTAATTTATTATATTTTATACAAAAACCACTCTATATCACGGTCAAAAACGAAGTTAAATGAAACTTCATTAATGTAAACCCAAGTCCATTGCGGTAGAAACGGATTATTGGGGACAATAGACGTTCCGTATAGGCCGATGTCATTAGCACTGACGAGTATAAAGAATTTGATATTGGCAAACTTTGATAATTCTTGTAAAATTCGTAGTTAAGTCTTGATCTTAGCTTATATCTGCTCGTTGACGATCTTATAACTATATCTAACCGCATTGATATATAAGTGTGCTTCAAGTCAATTTCTGCACCATTCATGTTCTGTTCGATGCGTGCATAACATTTAATAACACTGTATGGAATTCATTCTTATCAATTAATATATTATCTGAATTGCACACCCCACCCCGTTTACTTTCTACGCCTAATTAAACAATTCAATGACCTTGTCAGCAGTAAAGATTGACAAAACAATAAACTGCCTCTATCTCAATCTTCATCGGAGTGAGCACCTACAGTGGCACTAAGGTCAAACTCAATGCATTCTACAGCTGTTTTTGCGAGTTCGTTCGCTGGTCAAAATAAAACTAGCTTGCGAATGTGAGATGAGTTTGTGAGCTTTTGCTTGCATTTTTTCTCCGGCTGCTCCAGTTTTCTGCCGCTGTGAAATTTTGTAAAAGGGTTGATATTTACAGAAAGTATGGCGTTCGTGGACAATCCGTTATAAAAGATTCTTCTGAAGTTAAAACTGCGTAGACGAGGTTAATATGAATTCATTGTTCGTATACTGGAGTATTTAAATTTATTACTCCTTAAAAAATAACGCTTTGGCCGCGTTTACACTATACCGGATTTGCTCATCACAACGTCTTCATTTGCTTTAAAAGGGGTAACTGTTCAGAGTAAAAGCGTATTAAGCGGATAGATGTAGTCTATTTGATCGTGTTTCTGACGCTGAGCAATTTTAATGCCTTTTAATACAAAGAATATTCAACCTGCTGCGATAGCAATCCGGTATATTGTAAACGGGGCCTTAATGAAGACGTATTAAAAAAAAGAATGGAAAAATGTCATCGTTTTATATTCGCGTATTGCGAAATGATGGGTATTAACATTATATATCAAGTAAGGACCAAATTCATTTCCTTATCACAATCCTTCGTCCATGTTCTCGATCATAATTCTTGTTATCAACCCTGGCTAAGTCAGATTAGCAATAGCCTTCCACCCCCTCCCTCCAGCAATTAAAGTATTTTTCAAGGGCTTCACTGAGATAGTTCTCTTTCATTTAAAAAACATTGTTTGTTGGGAAGCTTTTTTCTATTGGCAAAAATCATCTATTATATTGCTGTCTCTCTCAAGCTATGAATTCCATGCTTCTTTGTTGCAACAAGAATCTTTTGCTCTTTAACAAACAAAACAAAATTTTGCTGGTTTTACTTTCCTTTCATAAATAAGAATGTATTATACATTTTATATTTTACGCATATCTCCCTATTGCTCTCAATACGGCGATAAAATGTCGAGTTTTTAAATTGACGGGTCATAGACTATAGCGCACCAGCCTTCGACTTTATATTGTTTTGCCAAGATTGTGTAATAAGGACGTCTCTCTATATCAACACCTTCCACAAAGCAACATCCGAAAAACCAACGGAAAACAGTTTATCTCCGGTCGGAGAAAATGTCACATGGCTAATAGAGTCACAATGCATATCGAAATCTTGAAAGCTACCTTCATCATAATCAATTACTTTCACTGGTCGATCTAAAACAAAAAGAAAATTACAGACAGCAAAAATACCTAATTAAGTGATTGTAAACTAAAGCATTTGGTGTCATTAATTCTCGAGGAAATAAAAGAAGCACTGAAAAGAAATAAAAACTTTTTAATGAGAATTTCACCTAGTGCTTTTTTGATTCATATTTCCGACGTAGCAACGTCGATTTGGGACGTTTTTTTAGACTTAAACTATGTGGGATACGTAATCCTAAATTGTGATCTAAATTTTCTTGTCAGAAAACCATCGATAATCCAGTTTTACTAATGGAAGAAAACTAGATGAGAAAAATTGACATAAGTTGGAGTAGATAAAAAAAACTCTATCGATTTCAAACTATTATCTTTCAAGATATAGAAAGGATTTTCAAATCATTCAGTGTTGTTTTGCAGTACATTGTAAAAAAACTTCTTAATTTATACCTTCGGTTCCAACAGCAATTAAATGACCCTTAGGCGATATTTCCAAGCAAGAAGCCCATTGTGTCAACAAAATAGTTCGAAAAACCTGACAATGAACAAATTTCCATCAATGATGGACATTTTGTCTGCTCCAAGCACATACCTGTTACATTATGTACGGGGTGTATTTATTTACCTTTCAAAAGATATGTTTTACGAACCTTTCAGTGGTGAAATGAAGAAGTATTTCTTTACAAATAAAGTTTATAAAAATCACAATTTTCTGCCAGTGGGAATTCCATTTTTTTCTTTCAAATTTACTCTCATAAGGCTTTTAAATACTAATCATCACTGCAGACCTAATGCAAATTTAACTTCTTGTATCGCATGCTTTACAAACGCAATGGCTTCACATAAGCCCGGTAGCTGGTATTCACGAAGCATTAAATCTTTTTGGCAAATGGAAAAGATTAAATACTTCACAGCAAAAAAACTTTTCAAAAGCAATTTCTCTATGCACTTAATTTCAAAATTGACAAAACCCTTAAAATGAGCCCTTAAAATGAACCGTTTCCGCTAAAAATAGATACATACATTAATGCCTAACAAATACCAGTTTTTCTAGAAAATCATCCAAATCAAGATATATTTCTCTCGGTCATGTTTTTAATAAATATCGATCATATTTCATGCGTTCATTAAAGATCTCCAAAATTCCTTTAGCCTCTGAAGAGGGATTTAAACAACTTTTATGTTAACAGCATTTCATCAGGATGTAAAGCGGTATTTCTAGAAGACTACCGAGTACATTCCAGTGAGCTAATGAGCTAAAACAATTAGAAAAATTTCTAACTATATATTTTTTTGATTTCCCTTATTTAAGTGTTAGTTTCGTGCATATAACATTAGCTTGAATAAAGTAACTCACATGTAAAGTAAACACGAACACAGTATACAAATATACAATAAGTGCACTTCGTGTGCAATTGGCTGCTGCATATTTAATTAGATTACATCATTCCTATTGGTCAAAAAAAGCAATTGATTGGCTGCCACTATAATAATTACATACGTAATAGGATATGCGTGGCAGGAAAAAATTCAACGGAGTGGCTCTACTCTATATTCTCTATACTGTGAGACAAATGTTTTTCTCATCATCGTCAAAATAAATTTAATGGTTTATGGTTGACTTACCGTAATTCATGATCACAAATCATTAAAAGAGCACACTTAATTACTCGAGCAAACAACAACTGAAAATCTTGATTTAGTCACCATATTCTGGACCTGCAATTTTTAACCTGCATTTCAGCGAAGTTGGTGGTCTGATACAAAAGAATGTTTCCTAAATGTTATTGCCACCAGCTGACATGGGCGAGAAACATTGTTTGGTAAATTTTAAGAGAGTGGTTGCAAATCAAGAATTAGTGGTCTTATTTTAAATAATATTTTATTAATGTTATTGTGGTCACCAATGGACGTGGGGAAACGACATTGTCTATAAATCTGCATGGAATGATTGCAAGTCAAAAATAGGCTGACCTAATTAGATCGATGACGAGAACGTCAATCAGTGGTTAATTTTGCCAAGCAGTGGTCCTAGACATTGAACTCAATAAACTCAATATGTATTCATGGGTGTAATTACATATGCATCAAAAAACTGCTAACCTTTAAAATACTTCGAAGTTTAGAAGTTATAAACTTGAAACAAAGCTCATGGAAGGATTAAATTAAAGTGGAATTTTGCGTTTTGTGCAGTTTAATGGTTTATTACATAAAAGGTTTAAATGTACTATAACTGACTGTAAAAGAAACTATCTTTTGTTTATGAAACAATGTAATACGTCATTTAAGAGATTTAAATTGAACTTTAAGCCCGTTTCAAACGTCAAACTTTGCATGCACCGAATGCATTCAAGACAAAAATCAATGAAATGAAATTCCTAAATATTTTTTGTTTTAAATGCACTCGGCTTGTAAAAATTTCAACATTTGAAATGGGCATAACTCTCTCATGATTTTTACATCTGCTTACTGTTGAGTCCATATAGACAAAGTTTTGAACAGCCACTGTGAATATAAGTATTATAGCAAAAAACGACGTCACATGAATTATGACGAAAGAAGGTGCAAAAGATCTGATTATTTCCGATGTCTAAACTTGGCAATGACTTTTGCAGAGATAGACATTCACTGAAAAAGTTAATGAGGGGGAGAGGTCCTAGACATACAAGTGGTTTCAGTTTTTAAGTAGGCCAAGAAATAAGTGAAAGGATAACGAGGAAAGTCTGAGAATGCTTCCTGTTGGCGCTCCAGTTGTAACGAGAGACCTCGCAGGTCTTTCAATATCCACGACAACTCGATCTCAATTAAACAATCCGCACACCAACATGAAAGATGTCCAGTTTAGCCATATCAAGCACTTTTAAATTAAGCATCGCATAGTGAACGGAGTCTTAGGCCTTTGAAAAGTTCAGGTACGTGATTTCTGAGAAATATTAAAATATTAAGGTGAGATAAAAGCTGGTCTCACAGGAGCAATTGTGAAGAAAACAATCTTTGGAAGAGCTAAATAGGTTGGATATACCATCATGAAATCATAAAAAGATGGAGCAATGAAAAAATGGGTCTATTTTTCTCTGCTGGTTGCCATGAATCTTTATTGTTGGTGGAAGTCAGATTTTCTGATTTCCTCATGAGAAAGCGCTAGTGAGCGATTCAAGGTTATTTGTTGACTATTCAATATGTATCTAAAGTACCTACTATGTATGTTATATCTGAAAGTAGTTCTTAATAGGGTTGTGTTAAAAATTGATGGTTGTTGTAAAGTGGAATGTTAGGAATGTTAAGGTTGTTTTGGTAGTATTTGACTACGAATGAATCGAAAGATAATAAACAATGTAAAAAAACTTCCTGATGTCTTGTTCCTTGATGCTTTTGCTTTCATGTTTTTTCAATCCTCTGTACTGTTGATGTGCTATTTAACTGAAAATCGCCCCATTTTACACCACCCAAGACTACTGTATGGGTGGGGTGGGGTGGGGTGGGGTGTTAAAGCAGCCTATTGTCTGTATGGATGAACATGGTGAGGAACTTGACCAACGCATTTAACCCAGAAATTATGCAAAATAACTAATTTCCAGTGGCATATCTAAGTCTGAGCTCATACAAGTTGATAGCTTGTTAATGAAAGTGTTACTGCATATCGACATTGCCAAATGATGAAACCCTCTTATAACTTTTACTGTTGTGTGTAGATATTTTAATAATGGCTTATAAAATGACTAAAAAAACTTATAACCTCGTTTTTATAAACTAGTTACGTGTAAAGTTGCAAAATTCAAAGAGCTTATACTTAGAAATCAAAATGAAAACTTTCTGACGGAAAACAATACAATTACCCAGCACCTTACTGACATAATGAAGCTTGTTGCAAGATTAAACAAAATATGATACCAACATGAAACCTTTGGAAAATAGGTTATTTGTGAGGCTGAACATGGTAGGATATGGAAAGAAGCTGGAAACATCCCCTTTTAGAAATTTCGTGGCTGGTTGTCAGAACTCAGGCTTCTGTGACCGATCTTGCTTGAGACTGAATACAAATTATAAATGGTACACTCTACATGCGATTAGCTACTTTAAAAGGCAGAAAGATAACTCAGTATTAGATTCACACTCTTCGAGATTACTCTTAAGACAACTTCATCCCAATTTTTTATTGAACCTTCCAACTTCACATTCAAGGAAGTTTGGCTGACTGAAAAATATACTTGTAGTCAAAAGATGCTGTTAAAAGACGGATTGTAATAGTAAGTGGTATTTTATTAAACTTCATCACGTCAGTGGGAAAGGTCTGTTTATTAAGTTGAAAATTTGGTTAAACCTGCAAAAACCTGGACTTCATAACATTAGTGTTCAAGCAAGTACTTGCACATTCTGTGGGTGTCTGCAGACCCATACGCCCATGGCTTCCTAAATGCCTGATTGACATGTTCTTGTTAAAATCCGTCAAAATAATATATTTGAGAAGGACTTTATCCTTTGAGCCAGCAATTTTCAGATTTACTCTTACTTGTCTTCGTGATTGTGCCTTATTTGTCGCCGCGGACAATGGAAAATCATGCTTATAAGAATATTCCCTCATCCCAATAAGTATGATCAAAATTTTCATATTGTGGAAGCCACATTGACCTTTATGACTTTATTTAGCAAAGTACTAGTTCAATACTAAGAAATATATATAAAGTATAGCTAGTAGCAAACCTAGCCCAATCTTTTACTCCTACAATGCAAACTTTGAGTAAAATTAGAATAACAGCTTATGAAGTTGATAGATTTAGTCTATTTGATTGTATTTCTGACGTTGAACAATTTCACTGCCTTTAAATACAAAGACAATCTAACCTGCTACGATAGTAATCCGGTATAGTGTAAACGTGGCTTGAGTACAGCACAGACATGACATAAAGCAATATAGCAACAAATTTTAAAACTAATCAATATGCTGATGCTATAACTAAAATGTTTTAATTGTGTTGACATGATTAAATAGAAATGTCCATACATACGCATTGTCCAATACACGGTGCTAATTAATATCAACTTAGTCTCAAAATGTTCTCAAGTAAAACATTTGAATTTTTACACTTAAAACAAAAATCTTCACCTTCATTGCAGGTGTTTCCACTCGTAATTCAAAATCAAATTAGCCAAAGTAGATTGGTTCATTCTTTTCAAGGTCTCCACTAGTTTGCTCCGAAATTCAGTTTTCCACTTGTTGGACAGTATTGACAGAATCTTCTCAGCCTTTATTTGTTCATTTTTATAACTCGTATTCGATTGCACGTTCTTAATTTCATGGTTATCCAAATTCATCAAGGAAGCCATTTCATCCCAGAAACTTGCTATATGACAACTCAGTTGACATATTTCACGAGTAGTTAAAACATTTCTGCTTGTCTATGAAAAGTTTAAATGAAAAGGATTGCAAATTTGTCATTGAAGATAAATTTGTTTATCTAGCGCGTCTTAACACGAAAAAATGATAAATTCTTAGTGTGCAAGTTACGTCTTAGCTACCTTGTTAAATTATTTTAACAAAGATTTTCCTTATTTAGAATGCAAATGTCATGCACCAAGGTGAACTTTCCATTGTTCTCTCATTCCCAAGGAAATGGTTTCACACCACCTATTTGGCTCTGACTCAGTTCATACTTTACGGAATTTAACGAGTAGAGCTTAAAACAAGTTCGAAACGTATTATAGAAAAATTGCAAGTAGGAGAGTTTTGGTACTTAGAGCAGTTGACTATGTGAAATACTATACCACAATAATGCTGACAAGGCAAATACAGAAATGACAATTAACGTACGATAATTTGTAGTTCTTTGCGTTAAAATTATTGTTTAACAGAAAAAAATTTGTGTTAGATAGTAAAATCGTCCATGAGATTTTTACATGCACTGTTATATACGACTTTAAAAAAAACTTCAAGTCCCCATCTTTAGTTTCAACTTAGTCAAATTTCTGTCTACTGTTAGAAGTATAGTAGACCTAAGACAGATTTTCCAGAAAAGAACGCTAACTGGTCTAAAAACAAGAAGCGAGTGAATAAATATTCTTTAATTAAATATACCTGATTGGTGGGAGACAAAATTTCATCCAAATCAAGCTTTATTTCGTCAAGGCATTTCTTCAATACATATCGATCAAATTTTTTTCCTTCATTAAAAATAACTAAAATCTCTTTAGCTTTTGCGGAGGGATTTGGATAAATTGTGTCGTAAACAGTAATTTCATCACGTATGTCAAAAGGTATTTCTAGAAGACCACCCAGTATATTCCAATCAGTTCCAACTTTCTGACCAATTTTCTCGATTTCTTCTGTTGTTAGTTTAGTGTATCTAAGATCAGCTAAATGTAGTAAAAAGAAAACATGTAAAGTAATACCGAATTATTAAATATCATCAGAAGAAAAACGTGAACGTAAAGTCAATACACATGGCACTGGATGAGGACGCAGGGAGTGATTTAGCTACTGGGAAGCTCTTACCCTATATAAATAATTTACGACAACACAGACCGCATAATTTTGGCATTGTTTTTATTTTTAAAAATGAGTTCTTTGTTATGAAAGACGAATTCTCGTCATCACTGAGGATTAAACCGTAACATCTGGGCTGTGGAAAATTTTCCAACAATTAGAAAAACGAAGATGATCAATTTGAAAACTGAAGATCTCATTTGTCCATTGCGGAGTTTCACTGGTTTCTTGGACCATAAACGTCTCATCCTTATGATGTAAATCATGTTTTGCGCAAATGAATGGTAATTTCAGTTTTAATTCTTTCCATTGTGCATAAAAAAACGTTTAAATTTCTACATTTTCAGCACACTTGATCTCATATTTGGCAAATACAAAATACTTTATTTACTAGAACAAAAACTTAAAAAATTCCTGACTTCTACTAATGGAAGTACTTTTTATTAAATCCTATAAACCAGAACTTAACAATGGCCTGAAAGCCAGTAATACAATCAACTTAATCTTCCCAAAAAAATTAACACTTCCTTCGAAATGATGGAAATAAACAGATATAAAGGGAGCCACAGTTAGCTTGTAAATATTTATCGTATAATGATAAATTTGTAATGAATTCAAAACATTACAGAATGCAATAACCGCCACGGTTTTTTTTTCAAATATTGAGGTCAAAATGGACCATTTCTCCGGAGTGTGTTTTTATTTCATTTCATACATGACACTAAATACTATACATATAGTGAAAAGTGAGGGAAACAAAAAAATAATTTATATAAAAGTAACTCAAATTTTCCCCAATGCAAAAATATTTTTCCACTCTCGACTTTTCCCTTCTAGAGAGACTATTTACAATGTATTTTTGATGCAAACGTGACTACTAATAAAATACCATGTACTTGAGGAAAAGTAAGTCATTTTTCGACCTAAACATTCCCCATAGGCTATATATCCAGGGCTTTCGTACCATTTTTAATTTGGAGGGGGCTCATATTTGGGAGATAATTGCATGGGCATGTTGTAATCCGTCGATAAACAATAGATTTCAAAGAACTTAAAAACGTATATCATGCATAAGATGTGACCCTTAAATCAAAATTTTGTATTACCATATACTTAGCTTGAAAACATCGTTGCTTTTTCTCTTCTTCAGAAAAAATATGTGTGGAAAAAGTATAAAATTCGTGTTTACATGACATATTGACTCAAATAACAATATTGTTAACAAATTTTATAAAGTGAATATTATACGTACGTTTATGTCAACGTTTTATAATGTTACTAACATCTTAAACACAACGTTCAAAATTAATCCAATAAATCATCAAAACGACCTTGTGTTTCGTTGTATGCATACGTAATAATAAAATTATTTTGGTTCCCGCATAGTAAATTATAATATCAACTGCAGCGATAACTGACCGCCATCTTTAAGGACAGTATATTATCATATAGAACGAATAAAACGCAAAAACTGTGATTTTTAATACAAAAGTATAGTAATGTGGAACCGATACCCCCCACGAAGGTCATAATCAGATGAGCCAACTTCCGGCTTTAATTATCTTACTATATTTTATATATGGATGCGTTATCCAGTGTAATATTTATATCAGTGATGGTGGCTATGCAGGTCCGTTCAGTTCCTTTTTGTTCAAAAATGGCGAAAGATGTATCAACGAAAAACATAAAATACTGCTGCTTTTTGTTGTCTATTAAACTCCTGATATTAAACCTAAAGGTAGCGAACTTTTCGAAGAATTTCTGGCCATTTTGTTTGGTTAATGTTACAAATCTGCTTCACTGCAACAAAAAAGGTTAACTCAAGGGAGTACGAATATTTGCAAATTGAAAGAGTCAAAAGAGGTGCGAATAGGGTATAAATGTGCGAATTTGCCGTGGAAAGTGCAGGTCTCCTTGGGCCTTTTCAATGCCTTAATCTTATTATAGAGCACTTGTATAAGTTATCGTTCCAGTTGAAACTACTCTTCCATTTTTCTATGGTAAAAATTTTTCTTAAGAAAAACAGAATATTCCGTTTTGTAATTTGTAATTAAGTCTCAACATTCATTCCTCTAGAGAGAATGACTACGCTTTAGACATTTTACTCTTACTTTTATTGAAAATTTTTACAATATATATTTATGGTAGTAAGGAATATTTTTTCTCATAATATTTTTCTCTTCGAATTTAAGTAAATAAAGACTGATAAGCAAAGTAATGATGTCAATATCACGTAAAAATATTATGTAATCAAATTGCTATTGTACAACGACCAGATTATTTAAGTGTAATGAAAAATGAGAAAATTCAAGCCAGTATGCTTACCTATAAGTTCTGGTTTGTTTCTCAATTCTTCATTTGACCTGACAGCAGCATGTACCTGAACAGGGAGACTGGGGAACGTTTTGAGAAAATACGTCCTGTGATCGCCAATCTTATAAAATGGTTTTGGTTGTGGTAGAGGTCGTGGCCGATCGTTCCAATGCTGGTCAATATTTCGAATGAGTCTTAAGCATTCTGTCCATGAAGATTTATAGGTCCTTCCATTCACCAAATAATCATAAACATCACAATCCATTTTACTTTTCCAGTGTTCGGATTTGCTATTCAACTGTTGAACGACACTTGACTGGGGATCATTTGTCTTAATCTGCTGAAGATTGCCAACTTTACATAGTAAGTCAAATTTCTCGTCATCCGACATAAGGAATGGATGTTTTAACGCCTCGGTAGCCGATGGTCTGTCTTTAGGTTTTAGATTTAACATCCACGACAGAAGGTCCTTTAGTGTTTCATCCTTGATTTCTTCCAAACCAACAGGGTTACCGTTCAACATATTGTCCAATCTATGCCGTTTAGTTCCAAACGCATGTTTTCCTTTTGTTGCAACATAATAAATAACCATTCCTGCATTCTAAAAAATTAACAATGTAAAGTCACAAAATTGACTGTACATATGCATGACTTGCAAATGATTATATTCCTGCACCTACCATTATATCAGACTCTCTCTTGTACCGTCCTTTATCAACTGAATCATCATCATCGCAATATGATTCAGGAGCAATCCAATACTCCGTTCCTTTGTTAGGACTGCTTTTATGTGTCGTAGAATCATTCTTCAATATTCTACTAATGCCAAAGTCAGCTATCAGAAAGTTGTGTTGTGAGTCTCGGAGAACATTGGATGGCTTTAAATCACGATGAAGAATAGGATTTGGGCCGCTATGAAGATCCGCTAATCCTTGCAAAATTTGTCTGAGAATTTCGGGAAGAGCTTTTTGAAGATCATGTAAAGTAGAAGATTCTACAAAACTCTCCAATGATTCTTCAAATAAGTCTAAGATCAAATAAACATATTCTGCTGCAGTATCTTCTTCTAAGAAGTAATAATTTGCTACATATTTCGACTTTTTTGCATTGAATTCATTTAAAGTTTTCTTTTCATGCTGTGCAGGCTCGAGGTAGTTATCTCTACGCATTTGTTTCACTGCTTTACCGTAACCATCCTTTGTCAGTCCAAGATAAACACGGGTTTCGTTACTTCCTTTGCCGATGCAAAACTCGTCTGAGAAAATTACACGTACATTGCCAACCACTTCAACCTTAACACTGGGATTGCGTCCATATTCAATCAATTTTAAAAGCAATTCTGTATGTTTCGTTGATTCATCAATGTATTTCCACTCTTCTAGATAAAAATAGTACATTCAAGGGTTAAACAAACAAAATAATACGTCCACAATTAGGAAAGGATACTGATACTGCACAATTTTAAAAAACGTACTAACAATTGTTAGACATATCATAAAGTTTTTAACTGGTAAATTCGAGGTTAGCTTATACCAAACAATTAATCACTAAAACTTCTCTCTGCAGTTATTTCATGAATTTTTGTTAAGGAGTAAACTTGCGTTTTTCAAAAATACTAAATTAAAATTTTGAGAGCAAATATTTTTTAGAATCTAAAAAATATTTTTATACCAAAAGATAACAAAATAGCTTCATTTAATTTTTCTTTCTATTCTCGACACTCGTCTTTTAGACAGACTATCTTATGTTTGTTGCCAAACATTAACAGAAGTTCGATCGCTACAATTATTCTCTCAAACCTTGTTTGGACATTTTAAAGTGCCAATTAAACGAAAATTATGCTAGTTAAATTATATCTGTATTGACCCGAAATTTTGAATTGACAGAGTGCTTTCTAAAACCTTTCCTGCATAACGTTTTCACTTTAAAAATACTACGTCCTTGCAATTAGCAATTTATCTAACTTGTGACAACATATTACATGCAAAATGAGTCGCTGCAATGTTTCAAATAGCCTTCATTTTCCTGACAACTTTAGGTTCATAATGGTACGCAGTATTTTATATCATTAACACATCACAAAGGAGGAAACTCCGCCATGTTAAAATAATGTATCATCAAATTTACCTAATACATCTAGTTCTCATTATCCAGTGTGACATCATATAAATCGGATATGATAAAAACTTCAATACCTCGAGAATGAAAAGTGATATGCATAAACTAGTACAGAAAGTACAAAACGATTGCTAGTATTGTTTTCCTTTGCCGAAGTAAAAATGTTTATTTGCAGTTTTCAATTATATTATTACCCAGGTAGAAAAGGAATCATGCAATTCAGCAGCAGCGTTATTAAATACCCCCTCCCTCCCCCCACACTAAAAGCTCTAGATTCGGCCTTTCGTAAAGCGATCAGTGCTACAATATCAAGAAAAAATGATACAGCCATTGGGTTCTGTAAGTGATATTTGAGTAGCAGCGTTATTAAACCCCCTCCTGCATGGAAACGTTTGGCCTATGGTTAATTTACACTAGCCCAAGCCGTATGAACAGATAGTGTTTGTAAAAAAATTGCTAAAAATTAGCACTTTCCTAACAAAAGCTAAGAATTTGTCATTCATAATGATGAACAAGTAGATATTCCCCTTGTCTTCCTTCAGTGTATTCATACATCTCCTATTCTTTGGTTTTTTCTCTACGCTTCTTACTATGTACATTAATTATAATTGCCTTCACCCTATCTATGCAGGCCCTGTTTACATGAGACAGGAACGATGTCAAACCAGAATGAAAATCAGAATTTGTTGCATGTTTACATGCGACCGACACAAAATCACGAAAAATCCTCATTCGCGTAATGCCTTCTTGCAGGCTAATGTTACGCTTGCTAGCCATTTTGCCTTTATAATTTGCTTTTGTGCGCATGCGTAGATGAAATTTCAGACCGGTCTGAACATTAATTTGAGTTTACATTAATGCCGGTTTCAATTCATATCGTTCTGAACTCAGTCGGATCAGTTCATCGGGCGGTACGACTTCAGACTGCTCTGAGTCATTTTCGTAACGGTCCCATGTTAACATTTACTATAAATAATATTATGACTGACGCAAGCTGATACCGTGGTTTGACTTCATTCTGTTCTCTTGTAAACAGGGCCATACTCTACTCTATGTATATCTCTTATTCTTGAAACGTGTTCTTCTTGTGTCTTTTTCATTTACATACATACGTGCTTTCTGTAAATAATATTCATTCCTTATTTCTATGGAGCAATGTCAACAGCATGTAAGACAATCTTGCTGCAAATATTAAGGAAGTTCTGCTTAGAAAACACAAGTAATATTTTTTGGTACCTAGAAACCGTGAATATTACGTACAATGTCAGAGCCACAGTGTAGTGAATATACAGTAGAGCCACTCCATTGATTTTTTCGTGCAACGCATATTTTATTACGCATGTGATTACCATAGTGACAGCGAGTCAATTGGTTTTTTTGACCAATAGGAATGATAAAATGGTTAACAGCAGCCAATGAAGTAATTAAATATACAGCCGCAATTTGTACACACTATGGACCTACTGTATATTCCCTATATGGTTCACAGCTCTATCATATATTTTTATACGGCAATGATTGTTTTGACTTCAGAAATTTTGGAGTATTGATGTGTTCTTAGGGCAGTTTCGTCACACAACTAACTTTTTAAGTCGCTTGGAAATAACAGTCAATAGATAATTGATAAAAGTTGCTTCTAGATAATGGTCTTGGGGTCACATAAAAGAATTGGGTTAACTATGTGATAGCTTACCTAATTTAAACATTCAATCAGACATAAACTTTAATATGGTGCAAAATTTCAATTTTATTGCGCACGTCCTTTAAAAAATATACTTTATTACCAGTTTCCTTATTTTTCATCAAATTTGTATGGAGAGAATCGTAGTTAGAAATACGCAAAGCTTATAACGTTTTAACGATCTTTTCCATCCACACTATTGAGTATTTACATTTTCTAAAGTCGATTATAATTGACTATAGAAACTAGCTACCATATAGCTAAAAGAAACACTGCCATTTATAACAAAATTAGAAAAGGTATTCGTATCATAAAGTTGCCAAAAGAATACTCGAAATTTTTCATGCAAAAACAGTCAATGCTATATAAGAATATATGATAGAGCTGTGACAATGTACGCAATGTTTACAGATTGTACCACGCGATATACGAAAATATAAATGGCAAAAGTGGTGGATTCCAATCAAACCCATAAAAAACCTGTAATATAGATTGTAAAAATATACTTTGAGATAATTCACGATTGCATCTAGTCGTTTGCAGTGCAGTTTATCAGTAGTCACAAAATACGATATAGGATTTTTAGAATCATCTATATGTAAATAATACTACAATTTGATCAATTTGTGATCAAGCTGAGACGACACACAGAAAATTGTAGTTTTGTAGATCAATTTTGGAGCAGAGTCGAGACCAAGTAACTGTTAAGTGTCAGTCGTCTGAATTAAGAATGAAGTTGCTCGAAAGGAGTCAGATTCAAAACTAAAAGATGTACTACAGATCGCTAAATGCAATGGAAACTACCGACTTTCAAGATAAAACCATTAAAACGCTTTTTATTATATCTCGATCTCATTCAAAGTAAACAATTTATTCATGTCGTATCTTCCTATACTGTATCATATTTCGTAACACAAATCATTTCGTACTGAAGATGGCATTTTGTTAATGTAGAACATGTTTGCTTATAAAAAGTCATTGTTTTTTTAAATGTTTCTTAAACTTGCTGCTATTCAGAAACTATAATAAAAGTTTCATACTTATGCCATTACATACATTTCTTACAAAAACAGTTTAAAATTCGATATTTCATTATTGACATTATTGTCTGACCTCTGTTGTGATGTATGCTCATTGCTCCACGTTATTTTCAAATTTGAAACTATATGTAAAATGTATATAATATGAAACGAAATGTCTTTCTAGTGTGAGAACATTGCTTTCATAACAAGCAAAAAATACAAATACTTTATTTCTCAAATGAAGCATTTTTTAGTCCAAATGTTTAAAAGCCATTCGTCATATAGCCATATCTATATCTCATAAAAATGCAGAGTACATGATTTCCTCCCACACAAGCGTAAAATTCAACAGTAAATCATTACATGTTTCTCTTTCTGTTGCTTTGCCATAAATCATCAGGAAAGACGAAGTCTCGTCATTAATTATGATCAAACCGTAACAACATCTTGGTTGTTGAAAAATACCCAACAATTAGAAAGAAAGAAGATGATCAGTTTGAAAACTTAAGCTCCATTTGTCAATTGCAGAGTTTTACTGATTTCTCGGACCATAACCGTCACATCCTTATGATGTAAATCGTGTTTTGCGCAAATAAATGAGAATTTCATTATTAATTTTTTCCATTGTGCAAAACGTGAAAAACGTTTAAATCTCTACATTTTCAGCACACTTGATCTTGTATTTGGCAAATGCAAAATACTTTATTTACTAGAACAAAAACTGAATCAAAAACTGACTTCTACTAATGGAAGTACTCTTTATTAAATCCTACAAACTAGAACTTGACAATGGCCTGAAAGCCAGTAATACAATCAACTTAATCTTCCCAAAATATTTACACTTCCGCACTCATACTTTCTTCGAAATGATGGAAATAAACAAATATATTATCATTATTTCTTTCAAACGATTTGAAACAAATTGCTTGTAGTTGCCACCACTGTTGATCCATTGTAGATAGACGGTTGAATTAGTTCACGCGTAAACAGATTCGACAGGGAGATTACTGAGGACTGTTACATGATAGCAACTACTATCATGTAATATCATTTTAATGTCATATTATAATTTCATATATAATTAATTAGAACGTTATCTAGAAGCTTGCTTGCATGCGCTACAAGCTTGCTTACATGCGTAAACACTTTAGAACCGCAACCGCATTTGTTGTTATTGTGGTTAACTATATCTTGCTGTAACATACTGTATTGCGTATGGGATGTAGGTCACAAAACCACAATACTTCCCATTAGATATTATATATATATCAGTAGTTTAGACCACTGGGTACAACCTACGAGGACAACCTACGAGCACAAGCTACGAGGAGACAAACTTAGGAGGCATAGCCTACCGAAGTAGGTTGACAAGCTACAATCTACCAGACAACTATCTTGGCTTCTGTGCCATAACTATCTTTTGGCTTCTGTGCCTTTAATCTATTTGGAAAACTATTGTGAGTCATTGTTGGACTCACGAACGCTCAAGAATAAAGACTCGCGGTTGTACTCAGACAGAGGAGATAAGTTTTACTCATACTTATTGATATAATTATTAAGACACTTATCTACTTTTAATATTTACGCTTTATTAATAAATTGTTTGAGAAATATAACTGGTTCACACTATCTTTGTTGCTTGTGGAAATAGAACCAAAATCAATAGTTATTCTTTCGGGACCACGCACGTAACAAGGACTTTTTGTGTTTTGTCCACCAGGTTGGAAACCGTATGACAACTTACAAGTTCCAATATTGGAATAGTTAATTAGCGTTTTGCTAATCTTGCCCTTGATACCAACCGCCCTTGCGAAACCACTTCACATTGTTTTGTTCCTACATACACCGCTGCACAACATCCCAAGATACTCGCATCGGAAAACCAATGAATGTAAATTGCTGTAGTCCCTACTCTTATCCAAAGAATGCTTCTTGAAAAATTTAACTCACTTTTCAAAATCCTCGACCATTTTTCCTAACGCTTCCTAATACCTTCCGGCAACTGTGCATCCCATGTGATTTTCCGATCACAGATATCTCGAAAGATTACTTTCGCTATGAGAACGAACGGCTCTTTGAAGAACCGTTCGTTTGGTCATTTGAACTTTTTGTTTTGGTAGTGAAATAGACAAAGTATCTTCATGCTTGTTACATACCAGTCCGAGAAGTTCAGTTTCTGAACATTTAGTTCCTAAAGTATCTTTAGCATAGGTAGAACCCCCATCCTTTACTTTATCGCGTTCAAGTTCAACTGCACTGGAATTGCATTTGTGCAGAACAAATTGTCCCTTGCTGAGAATCCGTTTTAATTGCTGTTCTATAGTCTCTTCTACTGAATCACCACACATATTGATATCATCTACGTAAGTCCCGTCAGATAATTCTTCGACACACTTTAGATATTAGTGTGCAAATTTCTCTAGGTGAACATTTAAATTTCCTCCAAGTAAAAGTGGGCTCGGACCAAGTCCGAACATCGCTCGAGTCATACGATGTACGACCATCTCTTTTTGTTGCAGATGATTTATCTAAAAGATTCTCATTACGTCTGGATCAATCTCTCTGGTGACTTTTTGTAAAAATGCTGGTTTGGTATCGCCTACTAATAGAATCGGTTTCATTAAACTACGCAAGAGTACATCTAAGATTCTTATCTGCAGTGGCGGTCCAATGTCAAGGCAATCATTCAATGAAGGTAACCTTTCATCGAATTTTCTGAAGCATCATAAACGATCCTTACTTTTGTAGACTCGGCTTTCTCACGTAAGACAAGTTTTTACAGAAGGTAATGTTCACAACTTTCTTTTAGTTTCTTACGCGCGATTTTAACCACTTCTTTATCAAGTTTATTTACTATGTTATTATGATAAGTTTTCGTCATTCTAGGCTGTTTCTTGAATCGGTTTATCATGGACTTAACCTACGCTTGGCAACCTGATATTCCGTTAGCAAGTAAGGGTGATAAGCCCTGCACAGAGGAGATTTTTCATACTGACCATTTTTTTTGCATCTTCAACTGCTCTTTAAACTCTTGATACACACTTCCTTGATCCCCTTCTGAAATGGGGTTTCGTAAAGTCCTCACTACATTCTTTTCGATTTGATTCACCTCACATGTCATTTTGAATTTTCCCTCTACATCTGCTATTTGACTTGATAAATACTGACCCTTTTAGTTGCTGTTTGAAACGTCATCTTGATGGATTTATATTGTTGCCTTATTGGTTCTTCTTTAATTTTATTTACCAACTTGCTTGATGCAAAGGAACTACCAGATCTAGTGTCGAAAAGAGCTCGACATTTATTCTTTTGATTGTTGCTAACACAGGTGGATAAACAACATTCTTCAAATTAGGATAACACACCAGATTTTGATTCTTGTCCTGCTGATCACATATAAAAGTATGGTGCTTCCTTTTACAGATATAGCAGTGAATCTGACTCTTGCAATTACTTGTTCTATGGTTTTCCCCTGTGCAATTAAAAGAGCGTCGTTTTGCCATTAAGATCTTTTCACGCTCACTGACATGCAAGACTTTGTCAGAATCTATGGGGCTGTGGTCTTTGCTGTCACAGTAAACACATTGTCTTGTTTGGACTTTGGTTAATAGTAGTTTTCTTTCTTTTCTTTCAATACACTCTCTCTCTTTCCTTGTTTATTAGTTTGTGATAGTGGATTTCGTTATATCCAGCCTCGCAAAGCTTCAACTAGATCTGTAAAAGCCAACTTTTCACTTTTTTCAATTCTGTGATGCTTTTGTTTAGTCAGCTCGAATCTCCTACAACTTGCTAGAGTTTTTTTCACGTTTCCTGCAACATCTCCCAAGTTCCCAATTATCTCAAGCGCTTGAACATGCCAAAGTATAGTATTATAAATGTTATTTTTCTTATGTTTTGAAACACCAGTATTAGTTGGCAGAGCTAGTATTTCGTGTATGTGTTCATTAGCAACTTCACTCGGATCAACATATCTCTCTTTTAACAACGAAGTTACAGTTTAATCAGAAAAGGAAGCATCATAAAAAGAAATTCAGCTCATATAAAAATATACGCGAATGAAAAACAAACAAACAAAGAACAAGGGACTTTGATGAAATCACGTTCTAAAAGAGCTACAACGCTACGTCTAAGCCAAAATTATGAAGTATATAGTTTGGAAAGCGAGAGGATGTAGCTTGTTAATAGGTATAATTTAATTGTTGCATATATAAATATAATTTTGCATCGTGAGTCTTTCATAATTACAGCATGCAGCACAAACACAGATATTGTTGCTAAGCAACATTACTATAACTTTACTTGAACAAAAACTGTAAATCATGTAATAATTGTAATGAAGCTGACATTGATACAAATAAGTGACGATGGCAGTTGTATAATTGACGTGTATTGATATTTCTTGATTTCTTACCTGATACAGATGACTTTGATCTTGGAAAAGGTGGACTTTTACGACCTAACTAAAAATAAATTTAAATGAATTTTTATTATTGATGAAATAAATTAATATTATCATCACACGTACAAGTAATTAAGAACATAAACTTGCTGTGATGTTACATTTATGTACATTTGCCTTTCACTGTTAGGAACTGTCCTTTATTTTTGATGAGTTTTGAATCCAGTTGAATCAAGCTTCTCTTGATAATAGTCGGTTGCTTTTGCAAACTCAAAAATCTGACACAAATATTCAGACAAAGTGCAATGGTTACATTTATAAAAATTAATCTTTTATATCTGACGTGCCATTAACTTACCTCGAAGTAAATAAAAAAGAAACTACGGCTTTTGTACATATTTTTATCTGTGGCTTTCCTATCTATGCTATTTAAGTGCTTATCAAGTTTGTGCATATCTCAATTGGATTTTAATTATGATAGCTCTTCTTGCTTTTGTAATTTAAAAAAGTTAATTAGACTTTCATTTTTAGTGTCCAATCTCGTATAAGTCTGTTACAAAAACTCGCTTGATAACAAATAACGTTAGGAGTATGGTCGTCAGCCCTCAGTATTAACTTTTAGTGGCTTTTTGCAAACTGAAATATTAGATACAGTTAAGTATTCAGACAGATTCTTTCAAAAAATACCCAAAGCCAGCTTGAGTGTTAAAACAGTACACACCTTATGCAATGGCATCAAATCTAAATCATCTTGACCAATTGACGGGATATTGTAATTGGTGATTCTAAGATCATCTAAAATGGAGTGAAAAAAACATGTGACACTAACTTTATTACGCATCATCAGGAAAAAAAATTGGCGTCTGAAGGAGATTATGGGAGGTGCAATAACCCACTGTCGGAAAACCTTTGCGCTACAGTTAATTTGCAATAACCAATGGAAGCCGTATGAGCAGACACTGTTTTGACTAGGAAATTTTCGAATATTGATGTGTTCTTTTGGCGATTTTTTCATACAAATATCTTTTTAAATAGGTAAAAATAACAGTAGTTTCGTAAGTGATAGAAGGAGCTTGTAGTGAATGATCTTAATAAATGATTAGTGATTTTAATGAAAAAATTCACTTTTGTTCTGCTAAAACTTTAAAACTACTTGAAAATGTAGCCGTATCTTAGGCGCAAAAGTTGAACCCAAATCATGTCTTACCAAAAGGGCATACAATTATTGGATTGTCAATCGATATTACGTGTGTATCTCTGAGGTGGAAAAGACAGCAAACAAGTTTTTAATTTATTTTCGAAACTCGAAGGTAAAGGAAAAAAAATATAAAAAGCAAAAGAAAACTCAACAACTGCATTGTGCATAGATAGACGTTCAGGAGATCTTTGAAATGCTACTTCCCATATCTGATGACATGACTGGTAGATAAATGGATGAGTACGAAATTGCTTTTAAATTGTTTGAAAAATACTTATCCCATATAAAAGACATTTTTTGCCACATGAAACAAGAAAACGAGAAACTATCCATCAATTTGTAATAAAACTGAGAAGACATGCGGAGAACTGTAGTTTTGGTGATCAATTATGTAAACAGATTGGAGACCAAGTAAGTGATACATGTCCGTCGATTAAAATGGAACCGACCATTAAAGAGTGACGATATGAAACTGAAAGATGTACAACAGATCACTCAAGCAATGGAAGCCGTCGGCTTTAAAGCTAAAACCATTGAAACGCATAAAAACGAAAAAGTTAGTCATATTCAAAAAATCAAAAATCATAGATTTGATATTCTGCTTAGTTGTCCTACAAAATTGAAATGTTTCCAATTTTCATGCATGGTGGTAAATATACGCAGGAAATATGTGAACGTTGGTCCTTCTGCAGCTGTATGTAGGTCAAAGATAAATTTCTAACCAGAAGCCAAAATTAAAAGTCAAATAAACGGTAAAAACCCAAGAAATGTAAATAAAGGAGTCATAATAAATTAGACTATGAAGAGGATTACGCTTTTATTGTACACAAAAAAAAATTGAAAATGGAATTGAGCATGAAAATCTCAACATTGAAGTGTTGACGTTTAGGTTCAGAAAATTTAATTGACTGTGAGCCTATTTGTAATATCATAGATAAAAAACCTGGTGGCTCTTAAGAAGAGTGGGATCAAATACACACAAAAAAATTACTAGAAACATATATTCGTAATGGTTGATCACATCGCTTAAGCCCAACTTTAAGTTCTATATAGAAATTTCAGACAAACGTCGATTATGGCAATGCAGAGATTTAGCTACAATTTATAGTTTTACATGGGGACATTGAAAGATTTCCAATTATAGATCTACATGGACCGTGACGTGAAATCTGTAGAATAAAAACCAAAAAGAACTTTGTTTAGTTTGAGGAAGAAAGTAGAAAACAAAAATTGGCCGAGATGTTCGAAGAAGATAATATTTAAAGAGCAAAAGAGCAAACTCCATTGGTAAGTTATGTTTAAAATGGTAGTTTTCCTTAAATAAATAATATTTGTTGAGGAATCGAGGGGATAACAACATTTGTAAACCATTGTGGTATATTTAATTATAAAAGACTTATGTTTGGAATAACATCAACAGCAGATGTGTATCAGTATATTACCATACAGGTTCTACAGTGATGTGAGGGAGTACAAAATATTATGGATGATAATATTGTTCTTGGTCAATTAGTTAAAGTGCATGATAAAAGATTGAATAAAGTTATTTAAAAACAAAGAGAGAAGGGACTTACTCTCAACTCAGATAAATGTAGATTTCTACAACTAAGACTAACTTTATAGGACATTTGTAACCTGAAAGATGTATTGTCGCAAAGAAGGGAAGGTCAAAGCTGTGGCGAAAGCTAAAGAACTGAAAACAACAACTAAATTTCGATGTTTGCTAGGTCTAGAAAATTTTCGTTGTCGTTACATCCCCGATTTAGAAGATTCGCAAACCTTTTGCACCAAATAACTCGGACAATAGTATCTTTTGTTTGGGGGTAAAAAATAGAGTAAAGCGCTTCGAAAAACAACCAAAAATACGTCTTTCTGGATGCAACGAGGACAACCAGTTAAAAATAGTTTATGAAGGCCTTTACCAAAATTAATTGGTAATTTAAACTGTTTATACTTGTTTATGCGATGTTTATATGGACGAGATAACCATTTGATAATGATTGCAACCACTTTTAATATAGGCCATTATCTTTCTCAAAGTGAACATGCTCAATTTCGTCCACAACCATGCAATTCTTAAAAACCTAACAACATTCATACTCCTTCTGAGCCCAATAATACTCCTCTAAAAACTTAATTTTAAACCATTTTTGCATTTCACATGCTACCTAAATTACTAATTGCAAAGTGCTTTCCTTCCAATACAGTATAATACACATTTAAAAGTCTTGACAAGTAAACAAGTTGATGATGACAGTTAACATATTTGAAAGTTACAAAATGTTCCCGAAATTAACTAAAAACATTGAAGAGAAATGTAAAATACATTCATCTTCTGGGAGACTGGGATCACGATCGATAAACAATAAAACAAGTCAAGTCTTTGGAAACTCGTACGGCATATATATATATATATAAAATTAGTAATATTAACATCAAGAAAAAGAATTTTGTTTTCACCTTGCCCGGCCTCATCCATATCTTTGACAATATGTGAATTATCAAGCTAGTATGCTTACCCTTAAGTTTTAGTTTGTCTTTCAATTCTTCATTTGACCTGACAGCAGCATGTACCTTAATAGGGAGACTGGGGAACGTTTTGAGAAAATACGCCCTGTGATCGCCAATCTTATAAAATGCTTCTGGTTGTGGTAGAGGTCGTGGTCTATCGTTCCAATGCATGCCAACATTTCGAATGAGCCTTAAGCATTCTGTCCATGAAGATCCATAATTTCTTCCATTTACCAAATATTTATAAACATTGTTATCCATTTGGCTTCTCCAGTTGGAAGGTTCAATATTCAAATGTGGGACGATACTAGATTGAGGACCATTTGTTTTAGTCGACTGTAGGTTTCCAACTTTACATAAAAATTCAAATATGTCGTCATCCGACATAAGAAATGGATGTTTCAAGGCTTCGTTGGCAGATGGTCTCTCTTCTGGTTGTAGTTTTAGCATCCACGACAGAAGGTCTTTTAATGTTTCATTCTTGATTTCGTCCAAGCCAACAGGGTTTCCATCTAACATATTGTCCAGTCGATACCGTTTAGTTCCAAATGGATGTTTCCCTTTTGTTGCAACATAATAAGCCAACATTCCTGCATTCTAAAATAGTTAGCATAAGGTCAAACCTTTATTTAAAGAAGATAAACACACAATAGCTAATAAGTATTCCATTAATAAATGCAGCATTCCTGCATTCTAAGATAATAAGAAATGTAACGTTAACAGCAAAATTAAACTCTTACAAAATTAAATTTCGCTGTGAGTTTTGTAAATGTTAACATTCTTACACTTACATATACATCAGACTCTTTCTTATAACGTCCTTTTTTAAAATCTTCATTACGTGCTTCGTTTAAATCTTCATTAAGTGCTTTATTTGAATCTTCGTCTTTATATGATTCAGGAGCAATCCAGAATTCACTTCCCGTGTTAAACTTGCTGTTGTGTGTTTCAGATCCATTCATCAATATTCGACTAATGCCAAAGTCAGCTATCAGAAATTTGCCGTCTTCGTCACGGAGAACATTGGAAGGCTTCAAATCCCGATGAAGAATAGGATTTGGGCCACTATGAAGATCAACTAATCCATTCAAAATTTGTCTAAGAATATCGGGAAGAGTTTTTTGAAGATCACTTAAAGAAGATGATTTCACAAACTTCTCCAATGATTCCTCACATAAGTCTAAGATCAAATAAACATATTCTGTTCCAGTATCTCCATCAAAGAAGTAATAATTCACAACATATTTCGACTTTCTTGCATTGAATTTGTTTAAAATTTCCTTTTCATGCTGTGCAGGTTGGAGGTAGTTATCTTTACGAATTTGTTTCACTGCTTTACCGTAACCATCCTGTGTCAGTCCAAGATAAACACGGGTTTCATCACTTCCTTCGCCGAGCCTAAACTTCTCCGAGAAGCGTACATTGCCCACATGTTTATTGTCTGCTTCGGGATAACACAATTTTGACAACAGATCTCTATGCTGAACTGAATGACCAACATATTCCAACTCTTGTAACTGCCATTCTTTAAATGACATAAAAGTATTACAATCAGAGGTAAGTGCAACAAAACTAATCAAATTAATAAGAATATGTAGCTCAAATTTACTCAAATACGACTAAAATTTGGATAACGACTTTAAATTTTTGTAAAATTTTAGCACCAATTATTAAAGTTGTGAAAAATTAATCAATCAAGCAAACATAAACCTGCTTAGATTAAAGGCAAGCGATACAGAAAAATGTCATCTGTCTTATTCCTATTGCCACTATCTTAAAACCATACAACAATGTTGGATTTGTACTGTCTTGTAAACCTTTCTTTTCATAATAGTTGAAATTAGTTTGCTATTTAATATAAAAGATTCTTTTCTCCAACCCATCCACATACACTTTACATCAATCTGAACTTCTACTTCTTGTAACCTCATTACTCATTACTCTACATTGTAGAGCATGATTCCTCTTCTCCGTTGCATGGAAACATTTGGCCTGTTATTAATTTACACTAACCCAAACCGTATGAATAGATAGTGTTTGTAAGAAAATTACTAAAAATGAGCACTTTCCCAACTAAAACTAGAACTTCGTCATTCATGATGATAAACAAGTAGATGTTCCCCTTGTCTTCCTTCAGTGTATTCATACACTTCCTATTCTTTGGCTCTTCTCTACGCTTCTTACTGTGTACAAAACTGATTGTTGTAATATTGTTTTGTTGGTATTGTTCTCCTTGTGCCACTATCTGCGGTACTTTATGACCAGCGGTGTTCACTCTTTTGTTTATCCGCCATATTATTGTTTGTAGCATTTAAGTTGTTTTTTAAAGTTAAATAAAGCCTAAAGAATGGTAAATTACAACAATTTATTTTACTTTATGTAAATTCTTCAATATGGAAACGTTATTGAAACTGCAACGTCTCGACTTGGATCCAAATTCGCCGTCAGCCGCGAAAGAGTGGAAACATTGGCTCCGAACGTTCAACTACTTCATTCAAGAATGCGGCAATAAAGCCCCAAACAAACACCGTACTCTCATCAATTATGTCTCTCACAGCGTTTGCTATTACATCGAAGATTGTCAGGACTTCGACTCGTCTACTGAAGCACTAAATAATCTGTATATTAAGCCTCCGAATGAAATATTTGCACGTCATCTACTTGCTACAAGGCGCCAAAAGCCTGGTGAGTCGCGTACAGAGTTCTTACAAGAACTTAAAAAGTTAAGCAAGGATTGTAACGTCAGAAGTTTGACTGCAGAACAGTATAGGGAGGAATTAGTCCGTGACTCATTTTTTAATGGTCTTCTATCACCACTGATCCGCCAACGACTTCTGGAGAACAGGCAACTGGACTTGAAGACGGCTTTTGATCAGGCCAACGCGTTAGACTTAGCCCAGAAAAACTCTGAAGCCTATGCTCCAACCGAAAACTCGGCAGCTTTTTTTTCTACTGAATATGGAGGTGAGGATCCTTTACCAAGTGATAACCATGTGTCAGCAGTAGTCAAACCCCAAAGAAAGTGTTTTTTTTTTGTGGCGGCCCTATTCACAATAGAAAGGAGTGCCCTGCACGCAGTTGTGTCTGCAACAATTGTGGTAAAAGTGGCCATTACGCTAAAGTTTGCCAGTCTCAGGCTGTGAAAGGGACTAAGACTACAGCATCAATAAGATCTGCCTCACTCTGCTCCATAAGTGCCGCCTGTCCAAAGAGCCTTTTGCAAGCATCCACCAAAGTCAGTGTCAACAGTACTGTTCTTACTGCCCTTGTTGAATCTGGGAGTTCAGATAGCTACATCAACGACAAGGTAGCTAACCAGCTCAACCTCAAATTACTCAAGTCAGAGGACAGTTTATCTATGGCTCTCACATCACTTAAAGCCAAAGTTCTTGGCCATTGCTTTGTTGACATCCAACTAGGCCACCAGTGTTAATCATCTGTACGTCTAAGGGTACTGAAGGATCTCTGTAATGATATCATCCTTGGCCAGGACTTTCAAAGGGAACAGAAAAGTGTTGTCATTGAGTTCAGTGGTAAAAAGCCAGAACTTAAAGTACCCAACGGGGTACCTGTATGTGCTCTTGCAGCAGCATCTATTGAGGAACCATCCCTTTTGCGAACCTCCTTACCGAATGTAAGCCTATCGCAAGCAAGTCGCGGAAATTCAGCAAGGAGGACCAGGAATTTATCAAACAAGAAATTAACCACCTACTCGTTGAAGGAATAATCAAACCTAGCACCTCGCCCTGGAGGGCTTAAGTCGTCGTATCAAAGGAACCACTACAACGACACAAGAAGCGGCTTCGCATTGATTATTCTCAAACTGTCAACCTCTACACGGAACTCGATGCATATTCGCTACCCCGTATCGACAACATTGTCAACAACCTAGCTTCATATAGAGTCTTCTCAACGTTCAACTTAAGGAGTGCCTATCACCAGGTACCGATCAAGAAAGCCGACTGAAAATTTACCGGTTTTGAGGCCAGTGGTAAGCTTTACCAGTTCTGTCGCATCCCCTTTGGAGTAACCAACGGCGTCGCAGTTTTCCAAAGAGCGATGGACAAGTTCGTAGAAGAGGAGGGCCTGAACGATACATTTCCTTACCTCGATAATATAACTGTTCCAGGCTACGATCAGCACGGGCACGACTAAAATATGAGGAAATTCAGAGAGGCTGTAAAGCGCCGAAACCTCACTTTGAATGAAAACAAGATAGTAGAGTACAAGTCTTCCATCAATCCACTTGGTTACTGTATAGGGAATGGTGTCATCGCCCCAGACCAGGAAAGGCTTCGTCCACTTAAAAGCTTCCCTCTTGCAGGCAGACATTTTACTCTCAAAACCGATTAGCAGTCAGTCGCCTTCATGTTTGACAACCGAAGACGCACCAAAGTAAAGAACAATAAAATCCAGGACTGGAGGCTACAACTAGCATCTTTTAGCTACACCATAAAATACCGGCCCGGTAAGGATAACGCTGCTCTCGACTCATTTACCCGGGCTTTCACAGCTTCCATACCTGCAGCTAGCCTTACTGAGATACACGCTGCTCTATGCCACCCAGGTGTCATCTGATTGTTATATTTCATAAGGTCGAAAAACCTCGCTTACTCTACACAAGAAGTTAAGAGGTTGTGTTCTAGTTGTAGGGTCTGTGCTGAGCTCAAGCCCCAATTTTACAAACCGCAGCAAGGAGTAATCATCAAGGCTACCCGACCTATGGAGCGACTCAGCGTGGACTTTAAAGATCCACTACCTACGACTACTAATAATCCCTATATGCTAACAGTCGTGGATAAATATTCACCCTTCTCTTTTGCTTTCGCCTGCCCAAACATGAGTTCATCAACCGTTATCAGATGCTTGAATCAGTTATTCGCTCTGTGTGGGACGCCAGGTTTCATCCATTCAGACCGAGATGCCTCATTCATGTCCCAGGAGCTTAAAGAATCCCTCTCTCAGAGAGGCATCGCCACGAGCCGATCTACACCCTACCACCCGATAGGCAAAGGCCAAGTAGAACGCTATAACGGTATAGTGTGGAAAGATATTCGCTTATCTCTCAAAACAGCAAGCCTGCCAGACAGTATATGGGAAATGGTACTCCCTGACGCGCTTCATTCAGCAAGGTCTCTCTTCTCCACTGCCACCTACTTGACTCCACATGACAGATTTTTTTGCTTCCAACGCCGTTCGACACATGGTACTTCAGTTCCAACCAGTTTACAGTCCCCCGGACCGGTTCTGCTCTTCCGATATGTGAGAACCAGCAAGAATGACCCACTTATTGACCAGGTAGAGTTGAAGGAAGCTAACCCTACTTATACCCATATTAAATATTTGGACGGCAGAGAACAACGGTATCACTGAGAGATCTGGCACCATGGCCCCAGCTCACAATCACACCATCCTTGACACCGTGCCGCCTATTGCAGAGGGAAATGACCAGGCACATGTTACGGCTGAGCATCAAGCAGTTGAGAAGGAGAGTATTTCAACTGAATTGGGACAGCCACATGCCCCTCTGAGGCGCTCAGTGCTTGCCGTAAAACCACCAACCCGTTATGGTTTTGAAAACAAATAGACTCTAAACTTTGAACTCATAAGTGTTATCATCAGTTCTGTTTAAGGGAGGAAGAATGTTGTAATATTGTTTTGTTGGTATTGGTCTCCCTGTGCCACTATCTGCGGTACTTTAAGACCAGCGGTACTCACTCTTATGTTTATCCGCCATATTATTGTTTGTAGCATTTAAGTTGTTTTTTAAAGTTAAATAAAGCCTAAAGAATAGTAAATTACAACACTGATAATGGCCTTTACCCTATCTACGTAGGCCCTGTTTGCATGAAAACGTAAAGAAGTCAAACCGGAATGAAAATTAGAATTTGTTCCTCATTCGCGTAATGCCTCCTTTGCAGGCTAATTTTACACTTGTTAGTCATTTTGTTTTTGTAAATTGCTTTTGAGCGCATGCGTTGATACCATTTCACACCGGTTTTAGCATTAATTTGAGTTTACATTGATCCCGGTTTCAATTCATACCGTTCTGAACTCAGTCGAATCAGTTCAGCAGGCAGTACGACTTCAGGCCCTCTGAGTCATTTCCGTAACGGTCCCATGTAAACATCTACTGTAAATAATATTATGACCCAAACAAGCTGGTACCGCGGTTAGACTTCGTTCCGGTCTCGTGTAAACATGGCCATACTCTACTCTATGTCTACCTCTTATTCTTGAAACGTGCTCTTCTTGTGTCTTTTTCATTTACATACATACGTGCTTTCTGTAAAATATACTTTATTACCAGTTTCATTATTTTTCATCAATTTTGTATGGCAAGCATTGCTGTTAGAAATACACAAAGCACATAACATTTTAACGATCGTTTCCATCAACACTATTTAGTATTCACATTTTCTAAAGTCGATTGTGATTGACTGTAGAAGATAGCAAACTATATAACTCATAGAGCCACTGCCATTTATAATTAAATTAAAAAAGATATTTGTATCATAAAATTGCGAAATGAATACTCGAAATTTTTTCGAGCAAAATCAGTCAACGCTTTATAAGAATACATGATAGAGTTGTCAGCTGTTACAATGTACGCAATGTTTACAGTTTGTACCACGTGACATACGAAAATATAAGTGGCGAAAGTGGTGGATTCCAATCAAACACATAAAAACCATGTAATATAGATGGTAAAAATACACTTTGAGGTATTTCTCGATTGTAATTAGTCGATTGTAGTGCAGTTTATCTGTAATCATAACATAACAGATAGGATTTTTAGATTTGTCTTTATGTAAACAATACTACTTATTGTTCAATTTGTGATCAAGCTGAGACGACACACAGAAAAGTGTAGTTTTGTAGATCAATTTTGGAGCAGAGTTGAGACCAAGTAATTTTTAAGTGTCAGTCGTTTGAACTAAGAATAAAAATGCTCAAAAGAGTCAGATTCAAAACTGGAGGATGTATAGCAGATCGCTAGATGCAATGGAAGGTACCGACTTTCAAGATAAACCATTAAAATGCCTTTTCGTTATATCGCATTCCCATTCAGTATAAACAATTTTTTCATATCGTATCTTCCTATACAGTATCATATTTTGTAGCACTAATCATTTCGTACTGAAGATGGCATTTGTTAATGTCGAAACATGTTTTTTTATAAGTTTTTTAAACTTGCTGCTAATCAGAAAATATGGTAAAAGTTTCATATATATGCCATTGCATACACTTCTTACAAAAATTGTTTAAAATTCGATATTTCATTTTTGACATTATTATCTGACCTCTGTTGTGATATATGCTCATTGCTTACGTCATTTTCGAATTTGAAACCTGTGCGTAAAATGTATGTAATATGAAACGAAATGTCTTTTTAGTGTGGAAACTTTGCTTCTACAGCAAGCAACAAATACAAATACTTTATTTCTCAAATCATGCATTTTTTTGGTCCGAATGTTTAAAAGCCATTCGTCATATAGCCATATCTATTTCCATAAAAATGCAGAATATATGATTTCCTCCCACAAAAGCATAAAATTTCAACAGTAAATTTCAACAGGATTTTATGTTTCTCTTTCTGTTGCTTTGCCATAAATCGTCTCGAGAAAATAGGCAACAACACATCAAAGCATAAAGGTTCCCTTTGTTCTCTTTCAGCGCATCTCCTTGGTTTTTCTTGTACACATCACTCTCTGACACCTCCCTCTGCCCTCAATTAACATATTCTACTTTACCTTCACCTATACATCGATATGTTGTGTTTTTTCATACCTCTTAAGCATTCGTCATTTTGCTTATGTTGAAAGGTTTGCATTCAATTACTTATCATTTGTGAGTAACAAGGCATGAGTTTTACTTGCCGTCAATATTAGAGTTGCGACGCTCTTTCCTGGCTTCACTTGTTCCTTCATAAAGTCTTGCAGACGACGCTTCCATTGCATGCAAGATCTGTCAAATGAAAAAATGGTAAATAAAGCAACAATAAATATTAAATTATCACTTTCAAGCGTCAAAGACCTTATGAAAATTTTTTCGACTTATGCATGATAGTAAAAATCTGTTTCACGCGAAACACATTCAATGATTTGTTATATAAAAATGAGCATGCACCTCATTATTGACTCCAAAATCAGGTTTTTCACCGTTTCTATAGTCTTATTCGTCACTGTTTATCCCAGTTTCAACTAGAGTTCTTTGAAGGATATAAAGTCAGTACATTTAGGGATGAGTTAAACTAAAACAATTAAATGAATAAGAGTTGCTCCGATTTCACCAATCGATAATAAGATTTGAAATATGCATTTTGGACGAAAAGGAGAGCAACAAAAATTCATAAATAATAATTTTGCTCATTTATCCAAACTTATCTGATACGATTAGAGGCAAGCTGGCCTGAAGTTAATCAAGTGTTCTGCTTATTGTGAGCTGTGTATAATCCTTGTACGTATTATTTGAAAGTATTAAAGTTGAAGTTTTGTGAAAATATTGGATTGTCTAAATTATTTTTTATTTTATTGCGAAAGATATAGTAGGGGCCATTGGTTTAAGTCCAGTTCAGAAATACAATGTCATTGTTAACTGTCAAAGAAGGCGTCATTTGATTTTACTATAAATGCATAAAATATTTTACATAATGTAATCAACATCTAAATATTCATCATAGTGTAATCAACGAATGATTTTTAACGATGGTGTCGATACACAAAA